CTGATTTACCAGTGAATTGTACAGTGTTGTTTTTCTTGCAAATCATATTTTTGTTTTAGAAAGGGATTAGGTCTTTTCATAAAGGTTGAGGGTAAGAACAGTCTCATCAGATTTCTCTTAAATTGAACGCTTTGAAAAGAATGTCACTAATGCCATGCCATTTAAAGTACATTTTAGATTATTTTGGGTTTTAAAGTCAGTGGGGATTATTGGTTTTCTTTATGTATAGACACTGCACCACGCTTGGTGGAACTTTTCAGACATACATTTCCCAAGGGTTACTTTCAAAGGCTGCACGTTTTGGAAACCAGTCTCTTTTTCATAATGTTTCCTTTATTTGAACAACTCTCAGAGGGCCAATTCAAACATACCCACATATAAGATTCTTTAATGTTCTAGAATAAACTGGTTTCTCGGTGCTAGCTCAGTGAGCTAGCAGAGCACTGGTGGATTTATATTTGCTTTCTTCAGAGACCCCTGTTTCCCACCACTGTCCCTAGATTGTCAAATTGGGGAGGGGGGGAGGATTTTTAAAAATTCCACAATCATTTGAAGAAATGTATAAATAAAACCTTTGAGGACTTTATCAATAGTTTCTTTTTTGTGTTTTGATTTTATTGTAAGTCTCAATTCAGGTTTGCATTAGTATACAATAGAACGAAATATTTTGTCCTTTGAGCTCCAGTGAAATCATGACTCCGACGAACTATGCAGACACCTTTGAGCTTAGTTGTCCTTGAAATTAATTATGCCGTCATCAGAATTTGAATTTGTAAGCTGCTTCTCCTTGCTGTGTAAAAATATAATAGGAGAAAGACCCGCCTTTCAGGAAGACACATACTGAGTCAATTTTATGTCATGTTACATGTAATTTTATGTCATTAAGCCAAGAAGAGTCGGCGTATCCTTGTAAATGCATGCAAGACCGTGGAAGTATTCTTGCTGTCTTGTTCCTTGGGGTCCCTTGTGTTTTTTTGTTTATTTTATTGGGGAAGAGGAGTAGCAGCAGAGAGAGAAACTACAGGTAGACACAGGTTTCAGTTTAGGTTAAGAGCAAATATTATTTTAGATTTGTCTAAAGGTGAAGGAAGGATCCTTTGACAGGAGCATAAATAAGGAGAAGTCACTCATGCTTTTAAATTTCATTCTGAGGGGAGATGAGCTCTGATGGGAGAGTATGTGCTGGCTCCTGAAGGTTCACCTTCCTCTAAGGGTTTTTTGCACTTTCATTCTTGTGCTGTTAACGACTGCAGAATTCACATTGGGTCCCCACAAGTTTCTTTCGTGTTGAGTAGCGTGGCTGGGAAAGCAGACTGTCTTCACCTTGGGTTTGCAGTCATTTTCCCTTTGCAAGTCTGGCCTCAGTGCTAAGAGGAAAACAATTCTTGGTTTTCTTAAGGAACTTGAAATGAGGTCTGAGTTTCCCGAGTAGTTACAAGGCTAGTTGTTTTATTTTGCAGGCTTGACTCTTGTAGTTTACTGTGTTTTATTTCCCTAAGTGTGTCATAAAGTTCATCTCAACAGTGAACATCAGGGATTATTTCAAGGAGGACAGATGTGCCTGTGCGGCGAGTCCTCTTGGAACCCCGTCCTCCCCCGTCTCTCTACTTACACGGACCGCTTGGTGATTGTACTCATTATAGTAACCATGGTGCTGCGTCGTCAAGGGGAACTGGTCCCCCATGTAATAAGATGACGGTATGTATTTTGTTTGTTTTTTAAAGATTTATTTATTTATACAAGAGCTGGGGTACAGGACAGAAGCATGGGAGGGTGAGAGGACCCACCAGAGACAGAGTGGGGAACAGAACAGGCAGACTGACTGAAACCACTGCTGAGGGGAGCAGCGGGCGAGACAGGAGAGGTCTGCTGCTCCGCCATGTGGGTTGCTCCCTGGCCAGCCGGGGATTGAACTCAAGCTGCAGAGGCTGCGGATAGCTGCATAGCGCTGTGCTCAGCCCCCTGTGCACCGGAGAGGCCTGACAGTATATATTTCGGGGAAAAATTTTCTGCTAATGCTTATGGAAAAAATGGTTATTGCTATTTCAGGACTTGACTTAAATGTTATGCTTATATTGAGCAGCTAGTGTTCCTGGGTGTTCTGGGTAATTGAGGTGCTTCCCTCTTGCCGTATCCTATGCTGCTTGGTGTTAGCAAACCATTAAAAAGGACTTGAACCCCACTGGTAATTGGCAGAGCTAGGGTTGCTCCAGAGCTCGTGCTCTTATATGTGCTGTGTTCATGTAGTGTTGGTAGTGACCGATGGGCAGCCCCGACTTCATGCTTGAGGTATCAGGCGTGTAACCGCGTGATGTGATGTGATGTGCCCTGAGAGCGGGCGTGCGTGGAAATGAAGCCCCAGTGAGACTTCTCTTTGTTAGTGTTCAGCTGTGGGAGCGCTGCTCAGCTGAGGCACTGTCTCCAGGGAGGGCTCTTCTATTGTCACAGCGTGTCCAAGCTTGTGCTGCTGGGCAGAACGCCTCACTGGGGGGCACTACAGAGCTGCTGCTCACAGTTGTGGGGAGTCCAGGGTCAGGCTGCTGCCTCCTCTTCTTCTGGTCTTGCTGCTTCTAGTCTACAGGGACCCCCTCTCATTTTGTCCATCTGTGGCCTAGAGAGAGGAGAGAAGCCCTCTTCTTGTCCCTTCTTAAAGGGCGTATTTTGGCGAATATTTAAATATAACCCCCCCATATGCTATATTGCCTCAGTGGGGGGTGTGCGTGTGAGGTGTATGCATGCTTGCTCAGCCTTACTGTAGGATAGGTCGTGGGAGACGTTCAGTGTTAAGAATAAAAATTTCATATTGCATAGTAGTTCCTCCTTTCCCCAGAGAAGCTGTGTTCTTTTACTGGGCCTAAAAGGCGAGTCTGGTATTTTGCTGGACAGGCAGAGAAACGTAGCAGGTGAGCCGGCACAGCAGCGCAGGCCTGACCTCCGAGATAGTGGGAGGAGCTGTGGGTAGTCACTGAATTTAGGGCCGACGGGCAGATGGGCAGACCACCAAATAGAAGCACTTACTTCATATATTTGAAAAGGATTATTTTATTTCATAATTTGCGAATATTTTCTGGTGTGATCCAGATCACTTGAAAATATCCTCATATCCTTGTTACAGTTTTTACATGATATAAAAAAAAGTATACATGAAAGTACAATGGAAAGATTACCTGTTGCGTACAAGGGAGGCAACATAGATCCAAACAGACAAAACATTTCTGGGATATGGGTGGACATACACAGCTAACGCAAATTCAACATTAGGAACGTCGATACTATGCACTCCAGTGCTGTACACGGCTTCGATGAGAGGCTTCATTTCAGAATAGGGCATGTGAAGGGGGAATCCAGAGAACTGAAGGAAAAAAATATTTATAGTCATTAACAAAGCTTTATGGTTTCACTATATTTCTCCCTTATGTGGGAGCCTGCAATTCTTAACATTCTTTTTTTTTTTTTTTAAGATTATTTATTTATTTATTTATTTGTACAAGCACTGGGTACAGTCAGAAGCGCGGGAGGGTGAGAGAATTCACCAGAGCCAGAGCGGGGAGCAGAGCAGGCAGAAGGACCGAAGGACACTGCTGAGGGGAGCAGCGGGCGGCAGGAGAGGTCTGCGCGCCATGTGGGACCCTCCTCCAGTGGCCGGGGAGCAGCCGGGGATCGAACTGGCGCCGCAGAGGCTGTGGTCAGCTTCGCAACCCAGCGCTCAACCGCTGTGCCACCGGGGAGGCCCTGCAATTCTTAACATTCTTAGGAAGGAAGTTCTCTGGGATTCCAGTCACTTGATACTTCTGTCTTTCTAGTCACTTATCTGTACAGACGGGGTGGTCTGAACACCCTGTCGTGCTAGCTCAGTGACTCGGGGTGTAAGGCATTAGTTGGTCTCTCAGCACCCTCTCCTGTTCCCTTGCTCTGACGCTCCCATTTGCATAGTCTCGCATGGAATGCCAGGGACCCAGGGCAAGCGGACACAGCCCGACCCACTCCCGGACACACTGCCAGGCCCGGGGACGGGCCTGTGGCTAGTGTGAGCTCGAGTTCCTGGCTGGGCATATGGGCACACAGGCGTTCTTGCTGAGGACAACATGTGTGTGGACGTCAGTTCTGCCAGAACCATCGGACTGTCACCCAGAGAACTGCTCGCCGTCGAGGGGAGGCAGGCAGAGCGGGGAGACGCGCCATGTCTGACATTTCCTTTACTGCTCAAGCCTCTGAACTGAATATTCTGTTGAGCTGAAAACATCCTGGTGCAAAGTCTGGCCGTAGAAGTTAACGGGTAAGTTTTAGCCCGTGAGTAAAGGTAAATGTCCAGCTTGGCTTCCTGCCCTGTAGCCGACGAGGCTTCCTGCCTTGTCTGGGCCTGCTTTCCCGGCTTTCTCCCCGGCTGTGGGGGGTGAGCGCAGTACAGGCGGTTCACAGAAACACGGAGAATGCCGGGTCACTAGTGAGAATTTTCCTTAGCAATGGAAAGCGATTAGTATAAAATCATATCCTTTTAAAATACCTCATGTAGAGATTTCACTTTAATGACAGTTAAGTCTAATGTGATTTAGCCGATGTTGTAGTGACATGAATGCTTGGAATGTATTCTATAAAAGGCATTTTTCATAGGATCTTCTTACCTCAAAAATTAGGATGTTTTAATTTTATAGGTTCATTTTGCTATTTAATGATAGGTTAGTTATTGAGATTTGAACTTTTAATCACATTTTTTATCTCTGACGCTTCCTCACTGTAGAGAGCAGTGGAGGGTTCTGATTCTGGGAGCCTGTCGCTGAGCCCTGTCAGAGGGTGGGGTGAGACCCAGCACTCACCCTGTAGTCTCCCAGCTGCCTGAGCAGCTCTGCGCGGTGGTCTTCCTCCACTTCGTCCCCCTGGCTCTTCTCCAGCAGGGGCAGGAAGTGGCGCAGGGTGGAGGTGCAGTACCTGTTCCACCGGGTCAGGTGGCGCGGCCTCCAGTCCATGATTTTTTCTTTCAGTATTTTTTCAATTCTGTTCATAAAAAAATAAACTCCAGTTTTGGTGACCTTTACCTCGTAAATAACATCACAGTTTGCATGCAGTGGCGATTCAGGTGATCACATAACTGCAGTTCACTAAGCACAGAGCCCAGTTCAGGCTAATTCCCGATGACTGAAAAGTTAGCAGAGACCCCTGCCTGCTCGTAGGGACCTTGTAGGGGAACGGAGCTGCACACAGGAGCGTGCTCTGCTGAGAGACACGATGTGTTGAAAATGCAGCCCCTCCCACAGCAGAGGGGCCCTGGGTAACGGGGATGGCTGGATTTGATAGTTTTAGCAGAAGACTTTTATGGTTATGAAACGCTTCATCACTTTGTTCAGATAAATTATAGACTAGGCATAAAGGGTGGGGTTCGTGTTGAAAATTTCAAATATTTGCAGGGCTATTAATGCTGCATTTTCATTCTTTTCCCCAGAATGACCCCTACTCATAAGGATTGTTTTTCTGAATTGCCTTAAACCTGCCCTTAAATAGCCATCATTGCCATTTAATTTTTCATACTCTGCTGTGACACTAATGGGACAGGTATGGGAGTCCACTTACGCAAGAGGAAGAAAAATCTCTACCTTTTATTGGACCCTTATATACCAGGTGCTGTGCTCACTGCTTCTTAAACATTTTTATTTAACTTTAACTATAACTCTACGGGGTGGGATATTGTTCCAATTTTAGTTTTGAAGGGACAGTTTGAGGGTGGGGAAGCTGGGATTTGAATTGAAACTTGTTTCAATTCCAGAGGTGCATGCATCCCTCAACAAATGCGCAGATGGGGCCCAGCCTGCTTCCCGCTGCTGGTAGCCCCAGGATCTGCTGCTGCAGGCGTAAAACACACTCATGTTTGTAATTTCAAGGTAGTTTGAGTAAAAGTGGATGAACTGCCTTGCACTTTGTAATACTGGAGAACTAAGTGTCTTGAGTCTAAGCAACAGTATCCTCAAGCTATTAGAAGAAACAAAAGATGTTGGGGGCGGGGGGCAATTAGTTACTCTAGGTGGGGGTCCCAAATAAGATTTAATTTGAAACTTGCTGTGGAGAGTAACTTTGTGTTTTCTGGTAATACCACCTGAGAAGAAGTCCTGGTTAATCTCGTGTAACATGGCCTGCTGCTCTTCACTCAGCTTGACACAGTAGAGGGGGTACAGGCACAGGTTAGAATCAGAGAACACTTCCTCAAACACTAAACAAGGGTGTGGACCTTGGCGCTTCAGTTCCCACACAAGCGAAGCCAGGAGGCGGCCTATTTTACGGAGTTATAAGGATTACAGGGACTCACATAAACTCTTACAGCCACCTCCATGTATTAGGGTTATAAACAACCGAGGCTCTGTAAGCCACTAATTGGACAAAAGCGGTGCATTTAAGCTGAGGATGATATGTTTGAACGAGACCCATAATAACATGATGTCGAGCTCTAATCCGAGGTGACGGTTTCGGAGAACTACTTCCCTGGAGAACAGTCCTGTTTGCCCCACACCCTGCGGATGCTAGAGCCTCCTCTTGGGCCGTGGGATTTAGAGATCACGTTTGTAATCGGTACTTGGTATCTACAAACACACATTAAAGTTTAATTGCACAAATTATTTCACATTGATCCAGGCTCAGAACTGTTTAGTTTGGCTTTATCCTCCCGGTGACAGGGCACGGGTGGATTTACGGGCCTCACGTGACCTGTCTTGCAGTTCAGCGGCGGCCCCCTTGTCTGTGCGCTGGTAAATGAGCTCTTCTGGCTGTAAAAGAGGAAGCAGCTCAGTGATTCTAGCAAGTCACATATATTTAATTTGAATAATTGTACATCCTCTTTTAAATAGTTTTTTTAAATTATGAAATCTCAGACACTGAATCGGATGTAGGGAGTAACAGATGCCAAAGTACTCATGACCCATTTAATTAAAACATCACATTATAGTGCTGTGATGTTCCTTCTTGATTTCATTCCCTTAGAAATTTTTAGCACTCCCTCATGCCACATTCATTGGTGGAGCTCAGCAGATCTCCCCCTCCAATTTTGATTTGTCAGTCGTTTCCATAACTGTAATTTTGGGATTACAGCTTTCCACCTTCATAGATGCACATGCTTCACTCACCCTCCGCCACGGTCCCAGTGGAGCTAGGCACGTAGTAAAATGTGTTTATGGTTCTACTACAAATATACATATTCCTAAGCAATGCCCTTAGCGATGGTATCAAACATTTGTAGATTGCTTACTGAGATTCTCTGTGTAATTACTTTAATGCCTTTCATTATGTACCATAATTTATGCTGTTCTGGTTCCTGAGCTGCTACAGTGTGCCTTTTGCAAAGGGGATGCAAACATCTTGCATGTGTCACCTTGTACACATGGGAGAATTTCTCTAGAACAGGGTTTTAAATCTCTTTTTTTTGGAAAGGTTTGATCCACAGTAAAACATACCTTTTATGTACACACCCAGTATGTACATATATATCTGACCATCAAATGAAAAGTTGTAAATAATTCTCATACTTAACAACCTATGACTGGCCAGAACCCTCTAGATTAATTTTTTGAGCACCCTAGTGGGTCCTGCCCTTCAGTTTGAGTTCACGTCCCAGTAGCAGACATGGACTTAATTTATGAATTGGGACCAACATAAAAAAATTACATTGATTTTATGATATTTTGATGTCATGGGATTCCTTATATCAAATTTTCACATCTATTGGTCATGCTATTGATGGTGTCTTTCTTATTGGTATATTTCTGTTGTGAGTCTACTATTGAGACTATCTTGGAGCAGAATCCGGGGTGAAAACATAGCTGACTACTTAGCTTAATGACTTCACATTTTCAATTTCTTTGTCTACACTTAATAAAAGAGAATACCTGAACACTGGAAAGGCCAGGATAGGGAAGGTTTCTTGAAAAGAAGGATTTCCAGAGCTTGGGCTTGGTGACATCAAAACTTATCCTTAGTGGAGAATCGTATCGTTGAATATTAAACCAAATCTAAGAAAGAAGAGCACATTAGCAGATAGGGTAGCAGGTGTGCACGCGTGTGTCTGTGCTCACGTGCTTGTGCATATGGAGGAGCAGTGGAGAGACACAGTAACAAGTGAGCGAGGAACGGGTGCAGGACACGCCACTGTGCTTGGCGCCTCAGTCTTCAATACATGTGAGTATGTATATACATTTTTTTTTTTGCCTACATAAAAATTTAAATCAGTAGGCCAGAGGGAAAAAGAAAAGCAACCATATTTGAGAGGAAATGAGGGCCTCCCTGGTGGTGCAAGGGGTTAAGCACAGCTCTGTGAAGTTATCTGCAGCCTTTGCGGCAGGAATTTGATCCCCAGCTGGCCAGGGAGCAACCCACATGGCGCAGCAGACCTCCTGTCTCGCCTGCTGCTCCCCTCAGCAGTGTATTTCAGTAGATCCGCCTGTTCTGCTCCCTACTCTGTCTCTGGTGAAGCCTCTCACTACCACCCCCCGACCCACACCCCAGTTCTTGTATGCATAAATAAATCTTTAAAAAAAAAAAAAAAAGAGGACATGATAATACTTACATTATCAGGGCCAATTAAACAGCCCACACTTTTTAGGGGACAGAAGGTATCATATTGTCCGTAACAGTGGCCACTGCAGGGATTCCATATCAGGTAACGACTTTGCTCCCGAGTCACCACATAGGCAGTTGGTCCCTAAAGGGAAAGAGCCATCAAAACATTTTCCAACCGGTCATGCAATTGAAGTCAAGAGTAGTTGGCACAGACAATTCATTAAGTCAGTTCTAAAATCCATGTCAAAATGAGTTTGAAGTTCTAGGTTGCACTTGATGTGAAATAAAATGTTCATTGTTGCAAAATCTTGCCTCTGCTCCTGGTGTAGCTGGTGATTCAAGGGGGCTAAGTGGTCAGATCCCTAATCAGTGTATTTTAGGATTGACTGAAGATTCTTCTTGGACCAAAGCAGCATTCTCTTTAGAAGCATTTTCTCTTTAGACTCAGTAAACTGGGTTTTAAGTATTTCCAGTGCTGATCAGGTCTGAGTACTACGTCTGTTTTGAATGCAGTAACTGACATTACTCTGAGTGGATGACCTTGCAGGCGCCTAAATTGTTTGGAAGGATAGGAACTATTGGACAGTGACTACACCCTGGGAGGCAGTGGGATGGGCTGGAGCCTGAAGAGGGGCTTGATTTTACTTGGAATCCTGTATATTACTGGATTCTTTTTTTTTTTTTACAATAAGCATTTCAATGAGCACTTACTTATTGCAATGAACGATTTCATTCGATGCTCACAATAGCTTTTTGGGAAAGGTGGGGCAAAAATTATCCCCATTTCCTTATAAAGCTCAGCGTTGTGAAGTGACTTGCTGAGTCACACAGCTCACAGCGTGACTGGAGCCTTATGCCCAGGCCCTATGACTTCAAGCCTCATTCCTTCCCTTATACCAGGCGATTCGGAAGGTAATGCTGGGGGTGGGTTAGGATTCAGGTGTGACACTGCCTGCCCAGCAGCACCTCCCAAGGCTTCCTAGAGCCTCGGAGCTCTTCCTGAGGCTTTCCACCCCTTTGGATAAGCTGCCTTGATCCATGCAAATTTTTATGTCCCTAATTACCCAACATGTCTCCAATTTAGGGATATTGGTAGTGGGCTGGGGAAACAAATTTTCATAGTCCGAAAATCTCCAATCGAAAACAACGATGATCTCCAAGCAGAGCTGCTGAGAGTCTAGTGCTTGCCCCTGGGGTTGTGAGCTCTGCAGCTGCCTGTAGAGCCAGCAGGCGGAGCAGGGACATCACTTCCCTGCCGTGCTTCTGGGGTCCCCTTCACACCTTAGCCTGGCCTGAGGGGGAAGGGGATTCTGAGTCCATGGACAGGAGGAGACCCTTGGTAAAAGGATAGAGCCAGGCAGGAGCTTGGGATTGCAAAGGGCTCAGATTTGCACAAACACCTTCCGAAGCCTGTGTAGCGCCTGGTTACTTCTTGCTGTCTGGGCCACTGTCCAGGATCGTTAAGAAAATAAGTCCTGCCCATCATCAACACAGTGGGTCAGCCAGCGCCAGCCCCCTTGAGTCAGCCCGGGTGGACTTACCTCAGGAATTGCACTGCCCATCGCCAGCCAGGCCTTCTTGCCCAGGGAGAGAAAGTAATTACACAGTAGTACTGCGTGCTCCTCCTCGTCTCCTGCCAGGAGGTCCAGAAATTGCTGACAAAAAGAAAAAAAAGATACACGTTGCGTGGATCCACCGCTTCAGTCTAGACTGATTATAGGCAGGGTCAGCATGGTGGCTCCAGGGCACAGGCATGGCCTAGGCTGCTTAGGCCTTCTGAGAGCCCAGGGTGGTGTCATTTCATTTCTAAAGCAAGTGTTATCTTGCCAAAATGTAACAGGCAACAAACATTTTTGAAGTCAAATTGTTCAGTTTAGAGCTATCCTTCAAAAGGAAGCTGTAGAACAGAGCTCCGTTTTCTGCAAACACAATTCAACATGAGGGCCAGGGCAGAATGGGCACCTGGTTAGTTTCCCGTGTCAGGGATGCTGAGGCCGCCCAGGTGGACAGGGAGGTCCGGGAGGTAGAGGCCACGGTGCTTGTGCAGAGCCAGACCTCGCCCCGCCAGCCATGGGATGGAGACCGAGAGCCCGCGAGTGAAGCCAGGCCAGGTGTGTGCAGTTTCCAAGTGTGACTTGGTGCGGCGCTTTGACTCTCTCAGTGACTAAGACTGGGGTGTCGTTAAGATAACCCCGGGAGGATAAATCAGCACTAAGACATCGGAAGTGTCTGGGTTTGGGGTTTTTTTTTTTATTCTTTGTGCAAATTAATTTTTTTGAAACTTCTGCACTTTGGGGAAACTGCGTGAAGAAGAGAGAATATAGCTCGTCCTGCCAGAAGGATGGGAATGTAGGTTTCCGGACTGACTGAGGGCCAGGGCGGCTCAGGACAAGCAGCTGGCCAGCCTTCCTCGAGGGGAGGAGGGACGACTCACGTCAGATGTGCTCCACAGGTCACAGACCCCAGCGAAGGAAACGCTGTCCGGCAGGAAAGGGATCAAGGACACGTACCGAGCCACCAGCTCCTGTTTAAACAAAAGGACCTTTAAAAACTAAGTAAAACAAAATTGGGCAGGCCACACCACGAGCACCTCTGGGAGCACAACCCGCGCCCCACGAGCTTCCCGAGTGCCGTGCGCATATTTTCTCTCTCAGTGCCACCCAGGTCACGGCGGGAAGGTCACACGATTCCCGTGTTCACCGGCTGGAACTGGCTCCTGGCTCTCCCGGAAACGCCCTCATCATTTCTTTCTGGTTTCCGTGCTTCCTTTCTCGTATCAGAAGACTCTCCCGGGTTATTTTGTTTTCTCTAGCCCGCTCCGGAACGCTGTCGTTGCTCTGAGGAGCCCTGGTTGCTCTCAGGGAACAGTCCTGGCTGGCTGTCTTCAGAGTATGATCACTTCCCTATCTGCGTTCTTTGTGGCCTGCTTCTGCAGTTGTTTTTGCTAACTCTTACCTTCAGGGTAACTTGTTTCTCTGTTGTTGATGTTCCAGTTGCTTGGAACTTTTTCTGTGAATTTTTTTTGAGGCTGAGTTTCAACATTCTTCCAGAGGTCTTGCGTTAGAGGTACTACCAATAGGGGGCCCTTTCAATGACATGTTTGCTTCAAGTTTTTTAGGTCATACAAGTAGTGTAAATTCCAGTCTCAAATGTGAGTCAACACTGCTTAGTGATTAAGAATTCTAGGAAAGACTTTATCTCGCTTCCATCCAGAGTCAGGGCTGGGACAGGCAGGATTCCTGCCCTGCAGGTGGTTTCCTAGTTTACCCACCTGCTATATACTATCCTTCCAGACTCCACCAGCTCTAGCCCCAAGCATCGTCCTGCCTCCCTCAGCCCTCTGGGAATCCCCTCCAACCTCGCAGCAAACACTACTTCAAGTCCTCATCTCTATGAAATCGGGTTTCTTGTGCCATCTTTGGGTTTCCTTGATTTAAAAAATGTTCTAAGTATTTTACTTCCTCTTAAGTGTTCTCTGTGGGGAGAAGTTTCACGCACACACTACGCTAGAGAGAATAGGAGCTCCTATTGCAGTGCTCAGTAAAATTTGATTACTAAAAAAAGTGAAGGTTTTTTTTGGATATTACTATATCTGCAAATATCGCCCTGTTCCTCAATTACTATATTAATGAGCTATTAGCCACTCTTACTCCCACACTGTCTATCAGACAATTCGCGGTTGCAGGATCCACTGGAGAATAGCCCACCTGACAAAGCTCGGGCCCGCGGCCGCCAGGGGCACACACTGTGCTGTCAGAGGTATGTGTGCACTCACAGCCCGTGTGCCCGCTGTGTGGTAAGGGCCTAAATGTGCACATAGTAAATCTAAGAAATCATCTTTGCTAAATCTGAACTACTCAGTATCATGCCCACTAGTGATCTTGGCATGAGGAAAAGTGTATCTGTCGTGACATCAGAGACCTCGGCTCAGATCCCGGCAAAGCTGCTGAGACTACGCAGCGCACACGTGTCTGGGTGAGCGTCCTCCAGATGTCCATTTTCCTGCAGCCAGTCTAGTGTCCGGGGCACCAAGTCCTCAAGTACTGTGCACGGAAAGGATGAACTAAGGATTATCATTATAACTCTCTGGTGGCTTTCGACTTTTCTAGAGGAAGTGATAAGCCTCGTGGTACTAAAACAAGTGACCGTGGCTCTGGTCACTCCTGATCCTGCTGTAGACCCTCTCTTAAGGACTAGGAAATACTGCAGTTACGGTGAACACAGCGACCTTCTAAGTGCTCCCTCAGCACCAGCACCCACAGCCTATGAGAGACTCACCGCTGTGGCCTGGGGGTCGTTGGGGTGGGCGGTCAGGAGCTCCTGAGGAGGGTTCAAAGGCTTGAGATAGCGAGTAACAAAGACCGTTTTCCCGCTTATGTCGATCACAGTGGTCAGGCACTGCCGATTTGGAAACTTCAGCGCACATTCAGCTTGAAACTTCTCTGTTGCTTGAAGCAATTTCTCATCTTCCTGAGAATCAAACTTCAAAAAGAAAGAGACGGTGGAGTTTACAGGGCATGGTGAAAGACACAGCAGAACCCCTCAGACCACCCCCAGCACAGCGCTTCAGGGAGAGATTACGTGATGTCTTAGAAAATGGTGCTGCCCCGTCTGTCCACAGCTCTAGCTAATTGTGTTTATAATCCCAAAATTACACGGATTCATTAAATACTTAAAGTATATTCCATAGGCTTGGGGAAAGTGTGCCCCAGAGCCTCTTGTATGTTCTCGTGGGATGTCCCCAGACCCGAAACTTTACATCAACACCAAGTGTCCAGACCTGGCAGCTGCCCACTCGGTGCCCAGGGCTGTGATCAGCACATAAGAGAAAATGCCGAGCTTATACGGCATCGGTGACTAGAATCACCAAGCCACAAATATCTAATTTTAGAAGGAGAATCCTGAAACAAGGGTGGTATTAAAAAAAACTAGTTGATTTAATCCCTGTTTCCACTATATGCATTCATTTACATAATTTTCAGATAACTTTCAAATAATTTAAAATTATTTTCAAATAATTGAAATGATTATTTCAAACTTGACATTTGCTGGCGTCTACAAGGTTCAGGCACTCTGGACACAGGCGCGGAAACAGCTCCCTCGAGTGACTTCTAGTCCAGTTCCCGTCGGCGCTCAGGCGCTGACAGCCCTTGCGGGGCGGGCGCAGGCAGCTGCGTGGGAACATTGAATGGAGGCAGCTCTCGCCCGGCCCAGAAAGAACAACCATCTGCAGCCTGTGCTGACCGTTGACCTTCCAGGTGAGAAAAGGTGCATCTACAGCTTCCCCCCCTTGGCCCCGATGCTGTGTTGTGCTTTGACTTTGTAAACGGGTGTGTCTGGAGGGCGGGGGTCACGTCTGTTTGAATAATTCTGTGTCCCTCGCGGGGCAGGTGTTCCTAGTGTCTATTCGCGGTCAGTGATGCCGAGGGCGCCGGGGAGCTGTGTCCGCGGTGAGAGTAACCACGGCCTGGCCTGCCGTGTTGGTCATCTAAGCGGCACCCAGGGAAAGCTAAAGGCAGAAAGAGCTTGAGGTGGAACAGATGAAGGTGGACTAAGTTTACAATGCGTCATAACTCAACGTGAAATGGAAAGATTCTTAACCAGCCCCGTTCTTTGTCCTGAGTGAATGTAAACGCTCAGAGAGAACAGAAGGGGTTTATCCTGTTGAATAGCCACATCCTGCAGCAACGCTGACCAACGTCACCTCCATGTGGGCAGCAGCGGGTGGATCTGATGGGCCTGGAGAGAGTGGTGGTCGCTCCCCGCATGCAGGGGACAGCCCCCCCCCCCCCCCGGCTTTCTAGATTCAGGGCTAAACAGGAATCCACCAGACACATGAAAGTGGACCGAGAGACAAAGGTGGACACGCTTCACGGAACTGACGTCTACAGCTTGTTGCTGGGGAAGGGTGAGGGGTGGGTGGGTCACAGTGCGTGGGGGCGGGGGTGACGGGGGGTGGGGGGGCAGCAGCTGGGGGTGATGGGGGGGGCAGGGAGGGAGGGACAGAAGCAGGGAATCAGCCTCACAGCTGTTGCCTAGTGAGTGGCAAAACGAGATGCCCGGTACCTTTTTAAGCACAGCACTCATCTGCCAGAGGCAAGGGAGAAAGAAAAACACGTGAGAGAATACTTGGTTCACGGAGATAATCTACTTTTTAAAACTTGTTTTCACCAAGACAATGCAAAGAAGAGGGTATTTAAATAGTTTCCGGAGCTCTTACTCTTATTAAAGAAAATTATGAATAAAGACTCCTAAAAGCCAAAGGGAATGTTCCACAAGGGGGGATGGCGGGGAGAGACTCACCTTGGAGTCCTGGAAGTGCTGAAAGTGGAAGAACAGCTCCAGGGGGTGGTCGCTCTGGGTAAGGCCAGAGCCCCTCTTTCCTGCCTAAGCCTGGCCTGGGCGGGCAGGGTGGGGCGGGCTTGGGGGCCTGATCACTGCCCGGGTTTCTGCCACTGTCAGGATGGCAGGGGCTGAGGGTCTTGGCAAAGAATCGCCTCCAGGGGAGGGCTGGCTTGCTGCTTGTTTGGCATAACATGGGTTTACCTGGCGTTCGTGTGTCAGGACAGGAGCTCGCTCTCGGTTACTGCTCCGCCAGCCCCCCCCCCGCCCCCCCCGCCCCTCCCAAGCGCTCATTTTCCAGGCTCAGGGAAATGCTTCCTCAAGCCACAAAGGGGCAGTGGAAGGCCACGGAAGGGAGCAGCTGCCCGCCCCAGCCGGGCTTGGAGCACAGAAAGCTCCCGCAGGGCCCGGAGCCCCTTTGCTGCCCTGCTGGGGAGATCTGGCCGGGGAAGCAGGCGGCCTAGAGCTGCTTCGGAAGCCCACCTGGACATGGGGTGGATTTCCTGGGCTTAGACATTCGGGAGGGTGAGCGGGGCAGGTGCACGTGTGGAGGGGGTGAATGGGCTCCCCGAGTGATGCAGCTGTAAATGGCTTGTGAGAGGGAACCTGGGATAGACTTTTCCCTGTGAACCGGCTTCTAAGACGAAAGCAGACGCGGGAACGTGCTCGGTCCTTCCATCCCCTCCTGAGTCCTAGGGCAGTGGCTGGACTGAGGCTCGGCGAAGCCCCGGCCTTCCCCTGAGTGTCTGGGCTCCAGTCTGGAGACTTTGATCTGCTTTTCTGGGATGTGTCCCCAGTGACTAAAATCCACGCCGCGTGGAGGCTGCTCAGCGAATTTTTGTTGCGCACACAGGTTGAGTCAGCTGTCTCCGTGGCGCTGCCCTCTCCTGTCTGCCGGCCCTGGGCAGGGCGCCTCATGCCCTCCTCCCTCCATGGAGACCCGCTGGACGAGGCAGCCGGGAGCCCCAAAGGAGAGAGCAGGGCGGAACCCTGGGTGGGTGGGGCTGAGCGAGACTCGGCTCCTGGCTCCCGGAGGGCGGGCGCTGGTGCTGGAGTAGCTGCGAGGACAGGTCGTGGCCTGTACCCGCTGCCCGGCCCCTCAGCATCCTCCACACTGCAAGCTGCAGTGCTGTGCCCTGAAGAGAGCTGAGGGGACCCGCCCTCCCGCCCCCACCAGGTGCTGGGGGCCTGCTTGGCTGGAGAGCAGCACCAGCCTGTGGAGGAGGACTTGGGGTGGGAGGGGGACTCTGCAGCTACAGAACCGCCCCGCAAGAGCAAGCTGCTTCTCCAGTGCGTCAGATCACGCGGTCTCCCCCTTCAGAAAATCCTGAAAGCAAAGCCTGTGGATATTTGTCTTGCTTTGCCTGGAAGCTCAGGCTGCTGGGCGCGCTCACCCCTGGCTCAGTGAAGTACAAACCTTGCCGCCTTCCTTCTGTCCAAACGGCGAGAGCCACACATGGCACCGGGGCCCTCCTCGGCCGGGACCCTCTGCCTGAGCGCGGGTGCGGTGTACACAGCACCGCCTGCAGCGGCGGGTGCTCCTCGTCAGAGACGCGATCTCATTATTACCTTTTCTCGCACCGGCTCCCCGGGGAGCAGCTGAGGCTCCATGGTGATGAAGAGGGTGAGGTAGGAGCCCTCACTCAGGCTTCGGACGTGGTCGAAACCCCGCTCGATGAGCACGCTTCGCTCCTTGCTGTAGCCCAGGAGCACGGGGGGGATGTCTATTTTAAAGGTTCCATCGATCTGTGAAGAAAATATGACTCAATAGCAACAGCCTGGTGGTGCTCCAGCACAAGTCCACCTCCCAGCAGCCTTCACTGAAAGCTGCTCAGACCAGCGTTGGGGCCTCCCCCACCATCCCGCTGGGCTGTCTCCCGGCGCTCTCCCTGAAAGGCCTGCATCCCTGCATGCTGCTCGGCTCCGGCTCCGGCTCCGCAGAGTCAGAACTAGTTCTGCAAGTGAGTGCTGAGACCAGTTTGCTTGAGTTCATGCCCTGGGTAAACTCCAAGGGCCCCAACTTGACCATCTTTAAAAAAGGAGACAATTGTAGGGGCGCAGGGATTAAAGTCAGTGCAATCAAGCTATTGCCAGCTACTGCAGCACGAGTTCTATCCCTGGCCAGGGAGCTACCCACATGGCGCAGCAGACCTCTCCTGATTCCCTGCTGCTCCCCTCAGCAGGTATTTCAGCCTGCCTGTTTGGCTTCCCACTCTGTCTCTGGTGAATCCTCTCACCCCCCCTTACCTCTGGCCTGCACCCCAGTTCTTGTACGCATAGATACATAAGTAAATAAATCTTAAAGAAACAAAGAGGCAATGACAGTACTCGCTTTGGAGGGAGAACCACGTACTGAGTGCACGCGGACTGCAGAGTAGACAAGCAACAGCAGGGACGTGCCGGTGCATGGAAGCTCTCAGCTGCCGTGGAGTAAAACCCCAGCCTCCCGCCCCACCTTTCAGAATGAGAACCAGGTTTTTCAAGGTTCAGCTCAGATGTTTTCTCTTCACACGATTTTGTTCTCTCCAGGAGCCTCCTCCGTGTGCGCCGCGGACACCATCTGCGGTCACAGGGCTCAGAGTTGCGCGCTCTGCTCTGAGCAGGTCTGTATCCCGCTCCCTTTGTGTCACCCTCCTGCGATCAGATCATCACAGCAGGTGCGCGTGGAGGTGGGCGGCGCGGGTTCTGAGGGATTCTACTCAACGATCTAATTTAGCCACAAGTTCAAAAAGGCTGAGGGTTTCACTCCTGCGCTGTCAGAGCAACCACAGCTCACGAAAGACCATCCTCACTAGAGCTGCGGCCCCCGCAGCCCCCTCCCTGGCCCCGGCTCCTTCATGTCTACTGAAGTGTTTTGAAAGTCCTCAGAGGGGAGCAGCCCCGGCCACCCGCCAGGCCTAAGGAAGCCATGTCAACATGACAGACCTGGGGCTCGGCGGCGGTTTCCATGCTTCGAGGCGGCGCGGCCCGGAGGGGCTGTCAGCACGGAGGGGGTTTTCCCCGCAGAGGCACAGAGGCCCTGCCCGGTCCGCGGGGCCCTGCGATGGGACATGCTTACCCGGGCCTGGAAGTAGATGGTGCTGAACGGAATTCTCACACATCCCAACCAGTGTCTCTCGATGCGCGTGTGGATTCCGCTTCCCCTCTCCCGGTCGTCCTAAGGAGGGGGAGAGGAGGAGCTGCTCGAGGACTCAGACCCCATCCAGGGCCCGGCGGCGGGAGAGCGGGAGGAGCTCAGCTGCGAGCACGTGGGTTTCGGCGAGAGGCCCAGGTTCTCTTCCGCTCACAGATTCGCAACCCAGGACGGTCACCTAAGCCCTGAGCCTCCGCTTCCTCGTCAGGAAACTGGAGCTTTAGTGAGCACAGAGTCATCCAGAGCTAACAGGACCGTGAGTGGGGGGCACGGTGTGAATCCTGGGGCGCCGCGGGCGGCCGACTGGAAATTTTAAGCAGCATGTTCTCGTCCCTCCTGCCCCCCCACCACGTGCCGCCTCAAGCCCGCAGCCCCGGAAGGACGGGGTGTGTGTGGGATGCACCCTGCGCTGGGGGGGCCGCCCTGACCCCAAGCACGGAGGTCCTCCTCCAAACTGGGGGTTCCTCACCTCCAAGACCTCGTACAGCACCTCGTCGAAAATATTGATGAACACGTCGTCTCTCACCGACTGCAGGCTGGTGCTGCTGTAGTCCCCGTCGGGGGCCCTGCGGTGCGATCGCAGCGTGAAAATGGGCAAAATAGAGCCAACGAGCGGGCAAAGGCCACGCTCGAATAACGAACACCCCAACCCCAGCCCAGACACGAGGGGGGAAAGCAGTGCCTATCCCTCGGGGGTGCCTGGACAGGGCCGTGCTGCCCACTCTGGAAGGGCACAAGGCTGGAGACTGACCCTCGGCCTCCACAGTCATGGTCACTCACCTCCCTGGCCCCCCACCATGAGCTCGGCAGGGAGCCGGCAGCTGGGTGCGGTGGCCAGGCCCAGCAGGCACCGGCGCTGGGAGCGGAGCTTCTGCAGTAACCGCACCCTCCTAGGGGCGCGGGCCGGCCTGAGTGGCCCGGCTCCCACCCCATCCCATCCACAGGTCAGCGTGCGGGGTGGCATCCTCTCCCGGACATCGCCACCGGCTGCCCCCAGGTCCCAGCAGGCCACGCTGCGGATTCCAGACCCGTGTCCAGGTCTCCAGCCTGTGCTTTGCTGGGTGACCGCGGCATCCGCCCCTCCCGTCTGGCTTAACCAGGCCTTGCGGTGTCCCTGGTTCTCGTGGCCTCGGCAAGTCTCCTTCCCTCTCTCCTCTCAACTCTACCACAGTCGAGCGCTGGACTGGAAAATTTCTTTTTTTTTTTTTTTAAAGATTTACCTTTTTAGGAATACAAGAACTGGGGTGCAGGCCAGAGATGCGGGGCGGTAAGAGGATTCACCAGAGACAGAGTGGGGAGCAGAACAGGAGGATCTACTGAGATGCACTGCTGAGGGGAGCAGCAGGAGAGGCAGGAGAGGTCTGCTGCGCCATGTGGGTAGCTCCCTGGCCGGGGAATGAACTTGTGCTGCAGGGACTGCTGACAGCTCCTAGTGCTGTGTCTTAACTCCTTGCGCCATCAGGGAGCCCCCCTGGACTGGGAAATTTCTAAGGTTGCGTGGAGATCTCAAAGACTGTCTTTTCAAATCTAGGATCACATAATCAAACATTTTAGGTGCCGGTGCATTTCCAGGGACGGAGAAAGCGGCACTCGGGGGAACTAGGGAGTTTCAAAATCATGTGAATCTTCCAGGGTCGGGGCGACAAGTGAGGACAGGAAAGCGCTGGAGGGTGGTAGGGCCAGGGAAGCTCCAAGAAGCCAGAGCCCGGGGAGAAGCCGGGTGTCCCCCGCGCCCAAGTGTCACAAGCTGGGCGCTCTGCCCCCTGACTCCCAATGGCGTCCCCTCGAGCTCAAGGAGGAAAACCCGGGCGTCGGGCGCACTGGCTACAAGGCCTCCCACCTCCGCTCTCCCTCCCGGTGTCCTCGGCGAGCCCCGCGGGCCGGGAGAAAGGGACACCCGCTCACCTAAAGGGCAGCTCCAGCTCCTCGTTCCAGCTGGGGTTCGGCCCCTCCGCGGTGGTGGTGTGGCAGACGGTGCGTTGGAAAGAGACTTCCACGAAAGGACGGACTAAAACCTGAAAACCAAGGGCAGGTCCTGAGTCCCTGATTTGCTCCCTCAGTTTGCTCTTCGCGGAGGCAGAATGTATTTGCTAAACAGTAGGTTTCCACCGAACCCAAAGCAGAAAACAAACCATGGCTTTTCTTAAAGACACGCAGCGGGGCGTCTCACCTGGCCCAGCGGGTGCTCAGCGCCGGGGGTGGGGCTGTGGGTGCTCGGGGAAGCAGGGTGCTTTTCACTGAAAGTCCTTGCAGATCTCGAGGACGGCTGGAATTTGCTGAGAGGGAAAATGAGCAAAAGAAATAAACCTCAGGGTGAAGCCGAGGTGGGTCCTCCAGGAATGGGCACCGCTGCCGATCCTGGCGCCGCACAGACGCTGGGGCTCCACACCCCAGACTTCCTGTGGGTCCCCGGGCACAGCATTACCAGGGTCTCCCCACCTTCTACCCCCAGGCCTGCATGTCTGAGAGGAAAGCAGAGTCCCCGCCCCTCCTGTCCCAGGGCATGCCTGAGTGGGGACCTGCCTTCCCCCCAGTGACACCCTCTTCTCTCAGGCAGCAGGGCCCGGAGCCTCACCAGCCTGCTCTGCCTCCACCCACTCCGGGTGCTCCCTCCGCCTCCCGGGAAATGCCCCCTGCTTGTTAGGCGCATTTCCATAAAAAGGGGAGGTGCCATGTCTCCTACGCCTGCTTAACTGTGGGTGGGCGCCTGCTTAACTGTGGGTGGGCTGAGCTGAGCGGCAGGTGGGCTGAGCGCCAGGTGAGGCTGGGCCTTCAGACAGCCGCAGGCCCAAGGGCAGACAGGTGGAGAAGGGCCTTGTTTTGGGCCTTGGGCTTGCCCTGGGGACGTGGGGGACTTGTGGGAGACACGTGGAGGAGACGTATCACATGGAGAAGAGTAGAGCAGACCCAGAGAGGGGAGCCAGGGGGAGCCCCAGGGTGTGCAGGTACCAGAGGTACCCCAACAACCCTGTTAAGCCTAACTGGGCCCACCCAAGCCCCAAGCACCCGGGACAACATCTATGTTGAAAACAAGTGTGAACACCTGTGGGGGGACCCCCCGCGGCGCCACTTTGTGGGGCCTGGGGCCTCACCTGGCCAGTGGCTTCCTCACAGGGATGTCGTAAGCCCGGATGATGTTCACCAGCAGCTTCAGGTCCCCGTCGGACAGGTTCTGCGCCGTCACCTTCTTCCGACCTTTTCTCCTTGGCCTCAGCGGTCGCTTCTGTTCTGCCAGCTTGAAAAGGTTTAGGCCTAAAATGCTAGTGAGGACAGAACGGGATTAGGACTCCGCAGAAAAGAAAGGTCTGAAAGCGGGGCGAGACGACTCCCACGCTGCTCCGGGGGCCCCCCACCCCGTCTCTGGACAGCTGTCCCGTGAAGGACGGAGGACGTGGTCCAGGCAGTCTCCCAAGAAGGGGGGGACAGATTTTAGCTGCTCTCTCGGGGAGGAACAGAGCAGGCTGGGGTGACCCAGCCCTCACATGCTCCCCGATACCCTGCTTTGGGGTCTGCCCATCGCTGCTGGTGGACGCCTCCGGCCCCTGCTCCGTGGCAGCTGCACCCGCCCCATCAGGGCCACCACCGCCCCTTCCCCGGGGCGCCGGCCGCGTGAGCAGGAGGGGGCTCCTGTCCCGGCCCCCAGCACTTGTTAGCCGGGCCCGAGGGGGGCGGTCCCAGCGTCCCCCGCTTCCCAGCTACACAGAACTGGCCCTGGCGCTGGGCTTTCACCAGGGACACATTATTTCGCCCAGTCTCTGCTTCATCACCTGTGAAATGGGGATCACAGGACCCACCTCCTGGGGCTGTTGAGGGGTGTACGAGGGAGGAGCATCGATGCACCCGGCATTGGTCTGCAGGTAACTGTGGGGATGCTGCCAGGGATAGGCGGGGGGTAGGGGGTGCAGTAGGGGAGCCCCTCACAGGGATGGTGTCCCGCCAACTCCGCCCGGCAGGTGGAAGTGATCGGCTGCGAATGGCAGCACCAAGCCAGCTCGGAGCCCACGGCCTCCTGCTTGACCCGGGCGCTGTCCAGAGGGGCCAGCTGGGCACAGGACGGTCCCGGGGCCTGGTGTCCCGCAGAGAGGGGGCAGCTCCACTAAGCAGCAGCTCCGAGTGCAGGGAGCAGCAGGCGTCTGGCGTCTCATGTTCTCATCCTTACCAGTTAATGTTCTCCCTTTTTTGTTTGTTTTGTTTTTTACAAAGAAATGGAGGGGAGGTGATTTGCTCAGATTCAATTATGAGAAATAATGATCTTTTCCAAAACAAAACAAAAAGGAGTATGAGAAGGGCAGCGTTGTTTTACATTTTTGGCAAATCTCCTTTTATTGGTGACTTGTCACCTACATTTTCTTTTCTAAGTTACTTTTCCTTTGTGAGCTCCACCGCCACAGACACTGTACGTTTAGCGCGCACAGGTGTCGGCGGACGCGTTTACACATGACAACGTGCGCGACGCCTGCGTGAGTCAGCGCCCCATCGGGGCACTGGACGATCCTCAATTTTGGGGGGTGAGAATAATTCTGATCTGGCCTCTTAGTGACTTCGAAGCCCCTAACACAGAATCGTTGTGCGCCAGCTCTCCAGGACTTCACCTGCAGCTGGAAGTGTGTATCCTCAAACAACATCTCCCCAACCTCTCCCCCCGCAGCCCCTGGGAACCCGATTCCACTCTGGTCTTCAAAGTTCAGCTCCTTTAGATTCTGCATATTAGGAACACGCAGTGTTTGTCTTTCTCACCTAGCAAATGCCCTCAAGTTCCACCCAGGATGTCCCACACGGCACCCCATCATCTTAGTCATTCTGCTAGCACATACCTGAGACAAACTGGGGGACCCCAGAGAGACACCTTTGCCGGGGGCCCTTCCGTGGCGCACCCTCCCCTCTGACGCCCTCCCCCTTGGGCTGTGCTGCCTCCTTGGAGCCAGGGAGAGACCATTTGGGGGCGGGGGCCTTGGGTACAGAAGCATCGCGTTTTACAGCCCAGAACAAACCCAAATTAAAAGAAGAAAGAACGTACCCCGAGCCTTCAGAACTTAACGCAGAAAGTAAAGCAGAAAAAAAAAGAAAAAGAAAGAAAAGAAATGGAGAAAACAGCATGAACAGTCATCATCCATCCCGTGTATAATGATCATGACAACATCCAGGGACAGCGGGGGCGGGGGTGTGTGTGTGTGAGGTTGGCAGGATCCGGGGGGCGCCTCTCCCTCCTCTCCCTGCCCGGAGGCGGCCGGCGAGGGGCTGCCGGGCACGGACACGCGTCCCTGTCTGCGTCCTGGGGGGCAGCAGAGTGTGTGCGCGGGGAGTGACCTCAGAGACCGAGAGGTAGGTCCCTGAAGGGCATGACGCCCGTGGGTGCTCCAGGTCTGATCTGGGTGTGCTCGTCTATGCGTCCCCGCCGTGTGGAGACTTCAGAGCGTTAGTGTCAGTGACGGGGAGTCAGCGTGTAAATACAAGCCCTCACTCGTGTGCAAACATCCCCGTTCCCCGCCGCCTCCCCTCGCCACGCAGCAGCTGTGGGCTCCCAGCTGTGATGCTGGACCCAGGCCCCCTCCTGCCCCCAGGCCCGGAGCCTAGTTCTCAGCCACCCCAAGGCCCTGTGCCCAGAGAGCCAGGGAAAGCGGGGGCGGAGGTGATGCGAGGGCAGGAGAGCTCAGGAGGGAAGGGCCGCGCTAGGCCGGGTGGGAATGGGAAAGGCACAGGCTGGTGGAAGTGGGGGGAAGTGAGACGGGGTCCTGGCATGGGATGGGGGATCCCCTGTGGCTCCTACAGAGACCCCCTCCGCCAGGCATTAGTCAGCTTTTGCCCGTTTCCAGCTTTCCTTGGGGCCCAAATGCGCGTCATCACAGAGAGAAAATCTTCCATTTACACGAACATTCTCCTCCAGGAAAACTTCTCTAAGAAATAACGAGAGGTCTGCTGTTACCTGATATTGGGAACTTCTTCTTCCACTATCAAATCGGCCAGAAGGAAATGGTGCTTTGCAATCAGGAAGCGATTTAGCACCGATTCTCTGACCTGGGGCAAGAGAGAAGCTTCATTTGAAACGCTCTTCTTCCATAATCCTCTCAGCTCACTTCCTAGACCCCTCGGCGACTTCACCCTAATATCGCCCCGATGCAGCCCCACCCCCAGCGTGGCTTCGCTTTTCTCAGCAGCACTGATGTGCCATGAACACCCACCTTTGCTCTAGTGGACGCCCCGCGAAGGCAGAGAACTCTGTTGGGATCCCATGATATTCTCAGGACCCAGCTGAGCTCCTGACACACATGGTAAATAATTTTGCTGACTGAATGAACAAAGTAGGGCCTCCCTGGTGGCGCAAGGAGGTAAGCACAGCGCTGTGAAGCTGTCCGCAGCCTCTGCGGCACAAGTTCAATCCCTAAGCCCGCCAAGGAGCTACCCACACGGCACAGCAGACCTCTCCTGTCTCCCCGCTGCTCCCCTCAGCAGTGTGTTTCAGTACATCTGCCTGTTCTGCTCCCCACTCTGTCTCTGGTGAATCGTCTTACCCCCCACACCTCTGGCCTGTACCCCAGTTCTTGTATGCATAAATAAATAAATCTTTAAAAAAACAGAAGCTCCCTTAAATGTCATAACGGGCTTTAACACATGGGCGGCTGCGGGGCAGATACCTGGATGGGTAGATGACTCTCGTCTCTCCAGCGTGTCTTACAGCCACATTTCCCACAGGAAGGGGAGGGGCAGGGAGGGGCAAGAAGGGGTCGGGGAGGTGGAAGCACATTTGACTCTCAGGGCCCGGGCAGTTAGTAGGTGGCTCAATACGAAGGCAATAGGGTGCAAACGTCCAAATAACTGAAAATCGTAACTTGGAAATGGAGCCCCTTGTTACCGGGCCCCGCTTAAGAGAACCGCTGCTCATAAAAGGAAATTTGTCCTCGTGTTTTCATTCAAAAGATGAAGGTAGCTATGAGTCCATGTCGCTTGTGCAGTTATGAGGCTGGGGCTGGTAAGCATCCCACGGGTGCCTAATAGGGTACAGACTCTCCCTGGGACACCCCCCGCCCCGCGTCCAGTTGCCGCCCCCCATCTCAGGATGCTGTTGTTCCACATGAAGCCGTCGTGAACGATTTTCCTTACCTGCTGCAGGTACTTGGCTACCAGGGCCCTGTGGGTGTCTAGGTGGTCCTTGGTTTCGATCACATTTCTGTCTCGCAACCGCTTCTCATAGTCCTGAAGTGAAACAGGGAAATCATTTCCTCCTCGGAAAGAGCCAGTGCCCGCTCGCCGCCCTGGAGGAGCAGCCACCACACGCGGCGGGGGACACGCCAGGGGCTTCTAACCTCCGCTTAATGCCTGGTTCGGAGCTGACCGTGGAGAGCCCCGGAGGGGAGCGGTGGGCGCGCTGCCTGGTGAGGGCTCGTGCGGCCGCCGGAGACCCAGGCCGTCAAGGGCTCGCGGCTCAAGCGCCGGGCTCGCCAGCAGCAGCCTAAGCCTGCGCTTAACAGAGCCTTTTCCGTTTTAAATAAAGTCATGACAGAAATAATGGCGTTTGGCTGCGACTGACTTGAGCCACTTACTTGGAGCTGGGCCACTTACTTTGTCTGCTGGGCCGCTGGGCGTCCCTCTTTTTCTAGGGATAAAACTCCCCACGGACCCCAGGGAGCAGCCACCTTCAGCACTTGGCTGGGCGCTGTGGGCCCAGGTGCCCTGAATGGGCAGGTGGCTCAGGGGGACACATCCCCAGCCCGGCTGCAGCTATGAGGTGTGGACTTGACGGGTGTTGGGGACCACCTGGGCAGGCAGCTCTCTCTGCACGGGAGTGGGGGTGACGCCCAGACAGGATGGAGAAGGGGGTCATGCCCTGCCTGCAGGGGCTCTGGGGTACCAGGTCAACTCTTGCAGTCACAAGTCTTAGCTATAAAACACGTGGGGATTTCATGAGCCAATAAACCTCCCTTGGCGCCTGAGCAAGTTCAAACTGGGTTTTTAATTATTTCTATTCACTTGTCCCATCTAATTCAAAGAACCAAGTAACCCAAATATTCTCAAAGAATAGGTTCTGCATGAAAATTCAAATGGGAAAAAATCAAATTTTTATGGCTCCTCATTTATCTCATCAAACACATACGTGCCCATCTGACTTCCGCTGCCCTCCCCCACTTGCACGGGTGTGTCACCTGGAACCCTCAGGGGCGCCCCTCCTGGCACCAGGCACCCGGCAGGCCCCCGCCTCCCTCAGACCTCACAGCTGCCTGCTGCTCTTGCCCTGCACCCCACTTCCTTTCTGCCCCACCCACTGCACCCCAAGGCTGCTCAGACCCTACCGTCTAGTTTGCCCTGCGGTGCTCCCCCCAGGCTTGTGCTTGGTGAATACTCACTGCACTATGATGGTGCAGAGCTCCTGGCTAGGGAGAGCTTGACATTCTAACATTTAAGATATTTTCTAACCCACAGTTCTAGCTTTTCTTCATGTATATGTCATGACACTGAGACAGATGATTTAAACACTGAATTCAAAAAAATCGACGACCGGTCACGTAAAGGGCTGTGAAGAGAAGTGGGTTTGGCGATTGAGAACAGCACAGCAATGTCCCCGGAGAGTGCACGGGTGGCAGCATCTCCCCGTTGCCAGCTCCTTCTCGACAGCTTCTCACCTGGAACACCCTCTCCATGATCTCTCGGTCATACGCTGGGACTTGCTTATAATTTCGGAATTCTGGCACCTCTTGGCTTCGAAGACGAAGAAGCCGGAATCGTTTGGATCTGTTTAATTCCTCGTCTGAAACAAAGTTAAATTCCTGCTGCAGCTGCTCCAGTCGAAAGAAATCGGGGATGTAGGATTCACCGCTGGTAGCCACCTACGAAAAGCAGAAAATGCGACCCCCAGATCAGGGCGGGTTCCATGCGAAGAAGCTGGGCCCTGAGCTCTGGGGAGTGAACACTCAGCAGTTTTAGACCGAGAGACTTGCGCTATCCCACATTTCATTTTTATTTATTTATTTATTTATTTTTACAGATTTATTTATTTATTTATACAAGCACTGGGTGCAGTCAGAAGCGCGGGAGGGTGAGAGAATTCACCAGAGCCAGAGCGGGGAGCAGAGCAGGCAGAAGGACCGAAGCACACTGCTGAGGGGAGCAGCGGGCGGCAGGAAAGGTCTGCGCGCCATGTGGGACCCTCCTCCGGTGGCCGGGGAGCAGCTGGGGATCGAACTGGCGCTGCAGAGGCTGCGGGCAGCTTCACAACCCAGTGCTCAACTGCCGCGCCACTGGGGAGGCCCCCACATTTCATTTAAACACAAAACACATTAAAATATAATAGTAACAACAGTGATCATTTTTCCAAAAAGTTTACAAGGTTCCTTTTGGCGTGCTTGCTCCCTGATACTAGGTGTTAGGCACGCTATACAGGCCGAAAAAAGGAGATTTCTGGCAGTGCCTTCCTAGGTGCCTGCTGAAAATCAGGTTAGCTGGGTACACGGTCTGTAAACTATTTCACACGGTCTACAAAAAGATATCAAAATATAAAAATATAGCTTCAAAATCTATTCATATCCAATGGTAGGAGAAGGCCCTGGGTCAGCTGAGCAGCCCCTTGCGCTGCTGTCCACGCTCCCTGTCTCTGAGCAGTGCTGCGTGCCCTTGGGAAATGGGAGCCAGAGATGGACACGCTCAGTGCCAGGGGCACCTGCTGCCCGAACCAGCGGGACTGGGCAGGTGTGGGCTGCCCCCTACCCCACTGCTGGGAGCTTTGCCAACCATGACCTCCTGGGCAGAGAGGAAGCCATGAGCTGAGATGTGCTGGGGCAAAGGACATCCTGGTGGAGAATTCGCTTTATACCAGAGGCCAGAGGGGAAGGCGGCCCCTGCATCCTGTCCTTCCACAGGGAGGCGAATGGACCAAAATGGATCAAACAGAGGTATCATTTGCTGCTGATTTCAAGATGGTGGCCACAGTGGGATTTGAATACTTGGCATGGAAGAGAAAACACGTTAGGTGAGATGGGCTGTTCTTTGCAATATTTCTCTTATCCACATTAAGAGGTATCGTTTTAGAAGGAGAGCTTATAAAGACGAAAGTTGGAATAAGCTTTGAAGTTATCTAATAAAGACCGGGAGAGACATGGAAATTTTTATATCGGTTATAATTACCCTGTGGATAAACAGGGACACGGGATGGACATTTTCTGGACCATTTACTTGTTTTCTAGGCTTTTGTGGGAATTATGGAGTAAAAACATGGCATACGATATCAATACAACCATTTCCTAACCAATGTTCCATTTTATTTAAAAATCTACAGGAAAAGGAATTTTAAATGTATGATAGATACTAGCAATTGATCACATAAATACTTACATGAAACCTAAATGATAACCTAATCAATCATTCAACAAGGAGACACACAAAATCACCATTTCTTAAAAGTGTGATGCAAAGAGCATGTGCTTTGAAATCAGATCCATGTGCTCACCTGGGGCAGGTAACTGAGCGTTTGACCTCAGTGTCTCTCTGTAGAAGGGGCAAGATAAGACCTTTCTTCGAGGGCTGCACAGAGTTTAGAGGTAAGAGCGTCATCCCACAAAAGCAACAGCTGCTTGTATTTACTGCACAGTGAGTGTGTGCCGGCCAGAGCTGACCGGCAGCTGCTGGTTGCTTGTCCCCACCTATGCAGTGGCACAGGCTTGGGAGTGAAGCCCCTGCCTGATACACCGCCAGGAAGAAGCTGCTGGAATTGACACCTGCCGTGCAGCTTAAGTACCTGGGCAGGGAGGGCAGGTAGCGAAAGAAACGAGTGTGAAGGACCCAGCCATGCCATCATGGCCACGCCAAGCCAAGAGTGGTGTGTGCCCAGCCTCTTGCCACCTTACCGAGATGAGCTGCATCAGAGGGGCATTGCTGGGGTCATTCGGGTCAAGCCTGGACTCTGCTGCCCACTTGGCCAACTTCTTCATGTCCGTCAGTCCTGACGTGCCAATAGATGAGATGGCATCAGCTCTCTTCAAAGCACTGAAAACCAAGTTGGCTGCATGAGGTGGCTTCGCCAGAGAGCAGGTTGCATCGAACCATAAAATCCCAGGGGACTCACAGCTCATGGAGGTCCTTATGCTCCATGAGAAAAAATTTGATCACGGGCAAGGACGTCCACCATTTTGTTTCCTTGATGGTCGCTATTCAGTATGCTAGAAGGACAATCAAGGAGCACAAACGGTGCTAGAAGACATTTGCAGAGCACACCATCACGGGTTAATAGCTACAATATATAAATAGCTCGTGCAACTCAATAGCAAAACCCAAATAACACAAATAATCTCATAAAAATGGGCAAAGGAACTGAATGGACATTTTTCCCAATAAGACATTCACATGGACAGAGGTAAATGAAAAGCTGGTCATCAGTTATTTCGAGGGGGCTACAAAGCCACCTCAGTATCCCTGGGGCCCTTTCTGCTGGTCTTAGCAGAAATCTAAGGTTCTAAGAAGGGGGTCGAGAAGAGGACTTTGATATAACCAGAAGGTTCTACCTTGCGGAGGGCCAGACACACACAACCTCGTGCCAAGCACGCCCCCTCCTGGAGCAGACCCCCCGGAGCGAGAAGCTTAAATAAGGGTCGGGGCCGTCGCTGTGTCTTCCACTGGCAAATGCCCCGTTTGTTAAATTGTTAGTATTTACATTTTTTTCCTGAGAACAATAAACATCTCTGAAGACCTGGCCCGTGAGGATCCAGGTAAGAACTCGATGCTTCGAGCAGCCCCCACTGGCTGTGGCTCCGGCTGGTGCCCGCAAGCTCCCCCGTCTGCTCCAGCCCACACTACCTCCTGAATCCGATGTTCTGCTGTGACAGCGGCGGGATTAGAGGGACTCCGTTTTCTCCGACGGCCCATGCCACGCTGCTGGACACCTTCCCTGAGGTCATCAGGATCAGCTGGTTACTGCCATCAGCTTCAAAGGAGAAGGGCACCCCTAGGAACACCATCGAACAGGACGCGCTGAGCCAGTGGAGCCGGCCCGGCGCTGGGAGGAGAGCAGACTGCAGACAGCGGTGGGCCAGCGGGGCCGGCGGGGCGCCTCAGTGCTAGTCTGCAGCCCTGATCTCCCAGCCATGCCGCCCTGGGCCAGCTGCAGGCGGCCTAGACGCTGCCGGGATGAGGCCTCCGCAGTGGCAGGTACTGTGGCTGCTTCTGGCTCCCTCCCAACAGCTGCGTGACCGAAGACAGGCCCTGACTTCTCCGAGCCTTCGTTTCTTCTGTCTAAAATGGGGTTCTGTCTAAAACAGTACCTTCCAGGCACTGAAAATAGCAGCAAAGAAACAAAAACGTTAAGCGCCTGCACCTCGGGGAGCTGATATTCAAGTAGTGGAGACAGGCATCAAATGGGAGAATGAAGAGAAAATGGCCGGCACGTCTGGGTGATAAGCCAAGGAAGGCTCTGGAACATTTGTGTTTTAAGGGTGGGGGCAGGTTGAACTGTTGGGTGGGGCGGTAGGAAAGGCTCTAGGGGAGGAAACTGTTGGAGAAAGGCCTAAGGAAAGCCAGGAAGCGAGATGTGCAGAGACCCTGGAGAAGAGACAGGAGGACCCCAAGCTGGAGCAGCCAGTCCAGTTGGTTCTGCTTGCAAAGTGCTTGGACACAGCCCAGCCCTGGCTCTGTCTAAGTTACTGCAGACCCAGTCAGCCACACCGGTGTGGTGGCCGCTGATTAGGAATAAATGATAAAAGATCTCGGGGCTGTGTGTTCAGTCAACAAAAGGGAGAATAAATTTTCTTGAAAGCATCGCTCTCTGGAGCTACGAGTAGCGTTACTCACACAAAGAATACCATGATTGCCCTGCGCAGTGTCTTTGGGTGTTGGGAAGATTTTCCCCTTCATATTGAAAATTAAATATGACCCCAGAGGACATCAAAGGATTCTTCTGTCCTCGGGGTGAACGAGGAAGGCCATGTCGGAGAGGGTCGCTGACCACTGGCCGCCCAGCTCGCTAGTATCAGCGTGAAGCTACGGCAAGTGTAGGCCCCAGACTTCTGGGCCTCAAGAATTCTCGCAGATCACTGTCCAGTTGTGAGCTCCCAAGAAAAAGTGGCCAGACGCACGAGAAAATGAGTCCCCAGGAGTGAGAGGCAACGGCCCAGGACGGTAGGATGCGCAGTAGAACAAGCAGGGGATTAAACAAATACATTCAATGTGTTCAAGAGGCCAAGGAAGGGATGATCGGACACGCACACCCTCAGGCCACGACCTGGCGGCTGAGAAGTGAGGTCAGAGAGAGAGAGGGGGGCTCGGGGGTCCCGGCGCCTACCGCTTCCCACGCCCTCGTGCTCCGGGGCGGCGAGCTGGCGGCTGCTGAACTCCACCTCCTCCACGGCCGCGCGCCCCGCGACCACGGTGGTTTCAGGAACAGGCAGGAACACCTCCGCGAGCAAGGTGGCGCCGCTGTGTCCCACGGTCTCGTACACCTGCAGGGAGGAGAGAGGCGCCCCAATCAGCGTGGCTCAGCTCCCAGATGGAGGGCCGGGCCGGTCGCCGTCCAGCCGGGAGCCCCATCGCAGAGGGGACAGCTGAGCGGTGGGCTTCCGTGGCACCCGCGGAGATCAGGTGCACCCTGTCTGTGCCAAATTTGAGACGCCCTGTCCACTTGCATGGCCTGACCCCCCGGGGGAGAGGGTGAGTGAGAGCAGGCGGCGACAGTCGCCCTATTCAAGCCAACGCAGGGGGCGCCCAGAGAGGGAGCGCCCGCCTCTCCCGGCTGCTTTAGGTTAGATCAGAGAGTGATGCCAGCAGGAGGAAGGGGTCAGGTCTACTACTTAGAGCTCATGAATTCGTCCCTTCAGGGCCTCAGGTTGTCTGGGAGCTGCTGAAATCCTACCCAAGTCCTTCTCGGATCTTCTCCCCGGTGGTGTGAGCACCTGCGGCCTGCTCACTCTTTGCCGTCACCCTGAGCTCAAGGACGGGGCAGGAGGCCACAGGTCACAGTCCACCCTCCAGCCTCGGTGGGATGCTCTGCTCCAGCTGACCATGTTTCCCTTTATTCTCGGATCATCTCAGAGTGATGTGCTTTCTTGCCTTTTAAGATTTTTCTTTTCATGTTTTGCAAAAATTTTGCTTCCCAAAGACACCTCTTTGTATGAGCCCACCGAGGGCTTCGGGTCTGTTATCTTGTCTAATCTCTACACGTCCCTCTGAGGGATGGTTTGTGTAAGGATGAAGCCAGGTAACAGACCCCACAGGTGCAGTGATAAGGTTCAAAAAAGGGGAGAAACTTCCCCTCACCCCCCATCTGGTAAGTCACAAAATTAGGATTTGACTTCAGACATGTTTCACTTCAAAACTCATATGTCTCTTGTTTTGTCTTCCTCACAATCCTTTTTTTTTTTTGTGGGACCCTCGCCGGCGGCTGGGGAATAAACCGGGGGCAGCCTCGCAACCCAGCGCTCAACCACTGTGCCACCAGGGGAGGCCCTTCTTCTTCTTTTTTAAAAAAAGATTTATTTATGGATACAAGAACTGGGGTGCAGGTCAGAGGTTTGAGGTGGTGAGAGGATTCACCAGAGACAGAGCAGGGAGCAGAACAGGCAGATTGAGTGAAATACACTTCTGAGGGGAGCAGCGGGCGTCAGGAGGGGTCTGCTGTGCCATGTGGGTAGCTCCCTGGCGGGGATCCAACGCCTGCTGCAGTGGCCGTGGATAGCTTCATAGTGCTGAGACTTCACCCCTTGCACCACCAGGGCAGCAGGCCCCTCACAGTCCTTCTTTCGAGGCTGTGGTGTTGCTCTAATTCCTTCTTCCTTCCCATTTCCACCGCCAGCTCTGATCCCATCCCCTCACTGCTGGCGCCAGCTCAGGCCTTATCTCCTGCTGGACTGCCTGGCAGTTCTTATCTCAAGCCGGGCTGGGTGGCTCCGAGCCTGTGGCTCAGGACACATGAGATCTAATGTCACCATCGACACAGCTCCTTCGAGGGACATATTCATCCACGCCAAGTACGGCTGCTCTGTGGTTCTCTCTCTATCTCCTGGCTGGATTTACAGCTCCCCGGCAGGGCTGGGCATTCTAAACTACACTCCTGGCTCAGCGTTAGACACACAGTTGGCTCTTAAATCAAGTGAGAAATATTCACAGTTGGCTGTTGAGTCATCAGTTGATGCGTTATCATTTTTGAAATCTCAGAACTTTTTCTGAGATACGTAATTCAAGACTGGGCAGTGCTGACACACATGGATGCATTTAAAGCAATTTCCCTGACCCTCCTGGTATTGCCAATGATTCCTGAATCTTCTGATCCAAAACTTGCAGTTGTATAGAAAATTTCCAAGTGGCACAGTGCTAGGCCTTGAGGGTCAAAATACAGTCGCCCTTAACTTCACTTCTTCTGTCGCCACTACTCAATCGCTGGGCCACGGAGCCAATCCACATGGTCTGACCAGTGACCACGTCTCTAAAGAAAGCACAAGGACCGAGCCAAGGCCCCTTTGATTTGTGCTGTTTAAAAGAAGACAGCACGATTCACTCTTAGGTCCAAGCTCACCGGCCTCCGAGCATATTCTTGATATTATGGGATAAAGTTTTGCTTTTGCAGCTAAAAACTCCATTTCATCTTATTTTAGAAAATATGATGTTATCCTTAAAAAATGCCTTGGGTTGTCACACCCATAGCCAGCTGGTATTCAAGGTAGTGACCAGGAGATCATAGAGAAGACGGTTCGTGTATTTCAGAACCCACGTGAAGCCAGACATTTGTGCACTCGTGGAAGGTGGGGGGTGACATTCCTGCCACAGCACTTCAGGAGATCTGGAATGGCCTGAGTGGGGCTTCACGTGCTGCCCAGGTGGCTGCACTCTCGCTGACCAGCACAGGTCTGGCCAGTCCCCTGGGGTGGGGGCAGCACCTGCCTCCAGCATCGTGCACTCTCAGGAGGTGTCTGCTGCAAGGACTCCCTCGGCCTCCTGCCGTCCCCTTACAGCTGCCGCTCTCTTGCACCCTCTAGCTCTCCACCTGCTCTCCTAGGAGACTCCCACTCTGCAGGGGCAGAATGGGGAGGGCAGCCCCTTCTCTGCAAGGGGAGTGGGGAAAGCAGGATGAAAAGGGCCCCAAGCCCAGAACAAGGGAAATCTCTGCTGTTCTTTGACTCCCCCAGGGACCACCAGCAGCCCCTCCTGGTGAAGGTCAGGGGTCAGCAAAATTTGGAGCTGGCCTCTGAAGTTATGTTGACTTTATCAAGTTTTATCCTGAAAAGATGGTTTTCCCTTTGCAGTGAAATCTGTAAACTTAGCTCCAGTGCCCACATTCCCGCCAGGGCAGGAGGGGGCATGTGGGAAGAGTGGGCTTCAGCCCAGCAGCACAGCGCCCCCCAGTGGCATAAGATGGTAAACCTTCCAGAGCCCCCTGGCCATCCTAACAGCGGGGCACTGGGCCAGGAACTCTGGCTCCTGGAAACCCCAGCAGAGAAAGGCCTCTCTTGCTCGGGTGCAGCGGTAGAGAGAGCTAGAGCGCGTGTGTGGGGACAGGAATGGCGTCTTGATCCTGGCGCAGAGGGCTCAGGAGGCTCAAACAAAGGTGCGTCTCACAGTGAGACCCAGGGAAAGCAGGTGGGCACACAGTGAGACCCAGGGAAAGCAGGTGGGCACACAGTGAGACCCAGGGAAAGCAGGTGGGCACACAGTGAGACCCAGGTAAGGCAGGTGGGCACACAGTGAGACCCAGGGAAAGCAGGTGGGCACACAGTGAGACCCAGGTAAGGCAGGTGGGCACACAGTGAGACCCAGGTAAGGCAGGTGGGCACACAGTGAAACCCAGGTAAAGCAAGTGGGCAGAGTCCCCCACCTCCCTCCCTCCCTAGCCCATACACATGGAGAGGACAGAGGAGGAGAAGCCCCCAGAGGGGAGGGAGGGGGAGCCTTGGACCCGAGAGCAGAAAGGATGAGGAGCCCCAGCAGTGGCCTGCATGTAAACGGCAGGAATCACCAGGCACAGCAGCGCTCGTAGCCCACAGGTAGTGGCTGCCGCAGCTCTGTGCTGAGGAGGCTTCTGAAGCCACATCTAGGCTTAGCAGAGAGCGAGGGGCAGGACACCTTGTCGTTTCTGGCACTCGTGGTGGCTGGGGATGAGGACCTGCCGCGTAAGTGGTGGGTGAGGCCCGGCGGTGCTGCCCGAGCTGGCGGCAAGCAAGGCCACGCGACCCACAGGCTGGCTCGCAGCACGCGATCCTGCTGGCACCTGGGGGGGACTTGCCACGAGAGCAGCGCGCCCGAGACCGTGGCGGGATGGACAGTGTCCTCTAGAAACGGAGGCCTTGGAGCCACACGCGTGATCTTCTTTGAGAAAAGGCTCTGCACAGAGCTAGCTAGCTCAGGCTGGAGCTGAGGCGGGTCCCGAGGCCATGACCGTGCCGTGGACACGGAGAAGGTCGTGTGGAGGAGGCTGGCGGGAGATTTGCTTGTTCTGCTCCGCCTCCATCGCAGCCAGCGGTGAGCAAGGCATGATCCATGTCTTTGGAACATCATGCCAGAGCCCTGGAGACAGTGATATTGAAGCATCCCCCCACGAATGAGCCGGAGAACCCTCCTCGTCCCCAGCCCCTGGCCCCCCACCCATCTGGCTCTTCTCCAGTCACTCTGCCGGCATTTCCAGGAGTCAGAGGTTAACACATCTCCTTTGCCAAGACCCTTAGGGCCGCCGTGCCGAGGAGGCGCTGACCTCTCCCTCGAGTGTCCATCAGAACCCGCTTACCTGCAGGCTCAAACTCTCCGGCCAGTTGAATATCTGCAGATTGAAAATCTGTCCAAAGTGAACGCGGAAGTCGGGGCCGAGGGGCCGGCTGTCGGTCCTGGACACCTCTTTGTTGTTGAAGAGCACCTTCAGGTGCACGGAGCGCCTCTTGACGTCCTCCCTCCGAGAGACCTCCACCCTGCACGGCGGGGCAGACAGGTGAGCGGCAGCCAGAGGGGGATGACCTGACCGAGGCGATACGCGTGGTATCTCAACAGAGCAAGAGGTACCAGGTGCGACTCCTCGCTCACCCCAGCAGTGACAGGTCTGGCAGAGCCTGATATAATGAAACATGTGTCCCTGGGGGGCGGTGTGGTGAGACGTGTGTGAAGAGGTATGGATCTGTACCCCTAAATCATCTACAGTGCTATAAAAAACATCACCTTGATAAATTAGATCATTTACAAATTAAAATATCCTTCTACGTGGTCATGCATTGTGAATGTTCATTACGGAACTATATGCTATTGCATTGTGGCTTGGAAATAGCTAATTAAGTGCTGGAGAATAGTGTGGTGGTGTTAGCACATAAGTGCTAGAGTTGAGGGAACATGTGAACATGTGCAAGAAGCTACAATTTAAAATAAACTAGTAGGGGCCTCCCTGGTGGTGGTAGGGGTTAAGTCTCAGCACTATCTAGCTATCTGCAGCTGCTGCAGGACAAGTTCGACCCCCAGCCAAGGAGCTGACCCACATGGCTCAGCAGATCTCTCCTGTCTCGCCCGCTGCTCCCCTCAGCAGTGTATTTCAGTGGATTTGCCTGTTCTGTTCCCCACTCTGTCTCTGGTGAATCCTCTCACCCCCCACCTCTGGCCTGTACCCCAGTTCTTGTATGCATAAATAAATAAATCTTAAAGAATAAAAGATGGACATGTACATGTGTTTTTGTGATTATGTACAGCTTTATATATGCTAAATGAAGCTTCTGATTGTTTCTGTCTTAGGCATCACTCACAAATGACAAGAGATGTTATTTTCATCAACGTTGGAGGGTATGTTTCCCCGGCCTGACCCAAAGAAGTACAGGGAATGTCCACAGCTCCTTGGGAAGCTCCACGAGGTTTTCCAAGAGAAGCTGGCCTCCAGCGCAGCTGAAATCAAGGGCCATTGGGGAACCCAGGAGTGGGATGCTACTAGTAGGCAGAAACCGCCAGTTACAGATAAAGGCTGCAAATTAGAAGCCAGGTAGGCAGCCCGTGGGAAGAGCGCCTCCTGCTGGCAGCATCAGGTAGTGCGCGCCCGTAGGTAGATGAATCCTATCACCCAAACTACAGATGCCTGAGTCTCCCATGGCTTAGTCTCAGAACTACTTACAGAGAATCAGCGATGGAGCCCATCACGCCTGCTGTCAGGAGATGCACACCCTAGTGTCTGTGTTCTCGTGTGTGCTGGCGCTTGTGTAATTGTGTCCCCGTCAACCTCATTCCTAGCTGCGTAGTCCACTCACCTGGGACACTGGTCATTGGGCGTCACGCTCCCCGCCAGGCTCAGCTCCGGGACCAGCGTGGGCTCCCCGGGCCTCCTCCGGCTCTGGGCCACTCGCTCCCGCACCTGCTGCTCCACCAGCGCCTGGTCCGCAGGCTCCGGAGGGACGGGCTTTGCAGGCTCCTCCTCGGGAGGCGACTCCCCCAGCTCCTCATCGGGGTGGTCTTCCTCTGCTTGTTGCTTTTTCTTCTGTTTGGCTCTCTGTTGGGTAAGAGGCAAGCTTAGGCCAGCCAGGAATTTGGAAAGTCACTGAAGAGCATGCTTCAGATCCAGACAAGCCTGGAGGCCAACCCAGCCGCCCCCCAAACCCCTGCGACCACTTGGGGAGGCTGCTAAGATGGGACCTCTCGATGCCTCCGTTTTCTCATCTCCAAACTGGGAACAGTCCTCGGGACCACTCTCCAGGGCTGTTGAAATGCGGTTATACCCAGAAAGTACTGACCCCTGTGCCGGCCCCTGAACTTGCAAAGCATTAATTACTGGTTCTAACAGCTCAGGACGCATCTTGAAACTGAAGACTTGTGAGCCAGGTGGCATCACAGGGCACCTGATATATTACTTAATTGCTCTTGGGCTCAATTTTGCAGAGTCATGCACACAAAGTTAGACGCTTTTCTCAGGGAAACCCAGAAGCATCCACACTCCACATTCAGTGGGATAATGCGTGTGTAATGCTAAGTGTTTTGCAGCTTAGGACACACGCATAAGTGATTACCTGTTGTTACTTGTTCACTCAAATAACCAGAGTGATACACCAGGGCCAGCTATGAGAATAGCTGGCGCTGGTACCGGCTGGCTGGGGGCTTTTTATCAATTGCATTATGAACTCACCACCTTATCCTTTTTATCCCCCAGTGTGGGTGGGGAGGGAGCCAGCAGAGCTGGCAGGGGACCCCAGCTTCCCTGCCCTGTCCCGGCCTGTCCCCTGGCTAGCCCGGCCCGAGGTGGTGGCTGCTGGCAGACCTGGGCTTTCCTCCAGGCCTTCCAGTGCTGCAGCGCGGCCCTGTACTCCGCCATCTGCTGCTCGTGCTCCTCCATGTGCTCCTCCACCAACTCGCTCGTTTCAGCCTGGATTTCTGCTTCATATGCCTCACTGTCTGCTTTCTGGTCGACTTTTTCCCTTGGAAATAATTCACAGTACCTTGGTTATTTCTTAAGATCAAGTCAGAGAACAACAGCCAACTTTGGTGAAGCGTGGGCTTGCTATATGCTGGAACCTCTTCTAAAGGTTCGCCCATCAGCTCCTGGCCCTGAGAGGCAGGTGCTTTTATAATTCATGTTTATCCACGGGGGTGGGGGAGCAGGCACAGGGAGGTAGGGAGTCACTAGCCCCAGCACACCGGTGGCAAGGGGAGCTGAGCTGGCCACCACTTAGTCAAATGCCCAGGGGTGAACTGAGCCACTACAGCCCACAGCAGCAGCTAAATTGTGGTATTTCATTCACTCAGGCCTTTGAGGAGGCACTTCATTATGTTGCTACTGAATTCCTGAAACCACTTTTTTGACCTAGGGTGATGATGTGGGTTTTTCTTTGGTGATTCTGCCGCTAATGCCAATCCCTCAGGAGATCTGCCCACACTGTGTGTTGTGGTGTGTTCGGTGGAGCCCTAGACCTGGGAGATGCCTTTGTAGAGCCATGGGCTGTGTGATTCTTCAGGAGGGCAGTATATGAGTGCCCCCAGCCCCACCCACCGGTGTCAAAATGAGCTGGGAAATGTTTGGGATCCCCATGAAAAGTGCATCTTCTAAAACTCAACAATGCTACTCCCAGGTATATTTCTGGAACCTTCGTGTGCATGTGCCCTAAAAGACATGCACACATTATCTACTAAGTTGAAAAATGGAATTAATTCAAATGTCCATCCATGGGAAAATGGACATCAACTATATGGTGGTGGAGGGAAACCAGACATTTTGGTGGAGGCTATGATGTTAAATTATAATCTGTACAACTAAAATATCTATAATGCAAATCAATGTCACTTCAATAAAAAAATTAAAATCTACTTATAAATCTACTTTCTGGAACTAAAGAGTAAATCTACAAAAACTTTGTTACATTCATCTAATGAAGTAGTATAAAGCAAAGAAAATGAACTGCAACTATGTGCCATAAAGTAATTGAATCTCACAAACACAGTAACACACGTTACTTCACCAAAGAACGCACACAATGTACTTTCACTTATGTGAAAATCAAACACAGGCATATTGAACTATATGTTTTAGGGATTATAGAGATAGCAAAACTGAAAATCCAGGAAATGGTTACTTCTAGATGGGGGTAGGGGGAATACAGCTGGGGCTAGAACGTGGGGGCTTCTCAGATATAGGCAATGTTTATTTCTTTACCCGAAGAATGGTTATTAATTTGTAATGATTTTAAAAATTGTACCTGTGTTCTATACAACTTTCTCTATGTCTGATAAAGCCCAAATAAAACAAATCTTTGAAAAAAGGGCCTACTTTCTCAAAACGAGCTTCAAGGGTGTATTTGTAAATCTCTGGAACTCTCGAAGGGACTTCATCTCTTTCCAGACTTTTACGATGCTCTTAAGCAATGCTCGATCTTTTTCTTGTTCAGCATCACGCAGTTTCCTTGTTTGCCTACAAGATAGAAAATAATACACAAGAACATATTAGAAAGCAACAACAGCAAGTTACTCGCTGTTGTTTACAAATAGAAAGTAAACTCAAAATGCTATAGTGACCGTATAGCTAATTTGCTAGTTACAGTATTTCTAGAAAACCAAAATATCAACGTAAATTTGAAGACAAGAGGATGCCAACCTGTTTTGAGAGTCTTATTTGATTTTGATTTCTCTAGGGGAGACTGACAGCAACTTAAGTAAATCACCTTTTAAAATTGGTATTAACACTTTGTATCCTAAACAAACAACCACCTTTGAAGTTTTGAATGGAGCTGTCCCGGTTAACACCAAATATGTTCAAGTCTGTCTGTGTCAACACACATCACAAGCTCCACATTAGGACATGAGGTAATCTACTTCAGGCCTTGGCGAGTTTTCAGTGCTAGCTAGATTAATAATACCTTGAGTGTGATTTGAAGAGGCATCCTTTGAAAATGCTGTTAATTTTCTTTCCATTAGCTAAGGTCTTTGGAAATTATTTACTGCCTTATTTTAAGCCCTCTCTAGGAATAGTCAAATCCACACCCTTAAGTGCTCGATTATGCAACCAATCATTTGATTAATTCTTTGGACAATCTTGAGCAACACCCAGTGTCATCCCAGGGGACTGAGAAGTGTCTAGGAGATAGGGGAGGTCGGAGAGTTTAGAGCTTCCCTCAAGACAGAGACACAGACAAATGCCCACAGCAATGTGGGGTTTGCCTGAGACAGCTCCAAGGACAACCAGGGGGGGGGTGTTTCACAAGCTAGCTCCTGAATTTCAGGGGGAGGTCTGAGTGTGGAGGTTGTAGTTGTGATGACTGTCCATGGAGATGGCACAGGAACACAGAGGTCTAGTTTTCTAATACTCAACTGGTGGCTGTGGGAAGGGAAGATGGCGGAACAGGACAGCTGGCTAGTGGTTGGGTGGCTGAGACTCAGAACTCTCTAAAGACCTCAGCAAGCAAGAAAGCTTGAATTAGAATGGAGAACATTCTTCTATGTGGGTCACTGTGTGTTCCCAGCACACATCTAGACACATGAGTGTCGTTTCGGGTGCTCTTCAGGTTGCATGGACCTGTCACATCATGAGAATCCTCAGTGCTGTCTTACTTGTGTCACGTGCAGATCTAACTCAGTCCTTCCACCCGCGCTGGGTGTGCTCACTTTGGTAGGGGCTCTTGCTTTGGTAAATGAGGCTGTGAAATCTGCACACATCTCCACGCGCATAACTGCATGAAGCTCCCTGGCATCCGTGCATCTGATGCAGAATTGTTGGGTCCCAGCTCACGAGCACTATCTCGCTGCCCTGTCACGTCTGGCAGCAGAAGGACTTGTCTCCACCAGCAGAGCCTGCAAGTCACCATCATCCACATCCTCACTCCTTTCTTGGGATTCAAATTTGGTGTTAATAGGATGGGAATATCTCATCACCTCATTTGGCTTAACTCACATATATTCAATGTATTCAGAAAAACTGAATAAATAAACTCAACAAGCTCACATCTAACGAGAAAAAAACAGTCGTATTATGAGCTTTACTCACCGAATTTCAGATTTATAGTCATTGATGACTTTTTGGGTTGTGTCAAGAGACTTGTGAGTTTTCACTGGATTAAGGTCCATCTGAACCGCATTTCTTAGAGCTTGGAGCTTAAAAAGATATGGATGAAAGTTTTGAATTAGAAACGCTACTCCCCACTCGAGTTCTCAGGGCAAACGATGCCCTGACTCTTCTGAGAATGGCTGGTCCATCTTCCACTGTCTCCAGACTTCTACCAAAATGAGCTTCGACAGAGCTATTCCTCCTATTCTTACAATAATGGAATAATAAACAATAATAATAAACAATAAACAAATAAAGGAATATTCCACTGTGTTCTGTGACCCTCATAACCAAGCTACCCCATCACAAGGTGCACAGAAAAGAACATTTGTACCTTATCAGTGAGAAATTTCGCCTTGTTTCTCTGGCGTCTTGCGAGGTACTGGTCATACAACTGGGCCAGCTTGGCCGCCAACACGTGCTCCCGGCTAAAACAGGGGTGGTGCGTGAAGATTAATCCTGAGATATCAATGTCCAGTTGGAAGTTTCCGGAAGCTTCTCCAGATCCAATCATATGCTGACTACTGTGGATATATTTTACTGCCTGCCAAAGAGAGCAGAGTGTCGGGGGGACACAGCTAAAATGTTGGATAATAATCTAACTGCCCTGGGAAATCAGTGAGAGGCAAAGTACCTCCCTCCCTGTGAACCCCAGCACAGGGGCCCGATTTCCAGGCTCCAGATCGAAGGGACCCCCACTTAACTGAATACTTTGAAAGTAAAACGAAAGACAAGGAGTGAGAAAAGAAACGGTTTTAATCTTGCTTTCCTATATTATTTAGAACTAGACCCTTGCAAGTCACGGTCCCAATCTTTGTCATGTGACTCTATTTCTCGACATCCTGCATTGGCAGCTGTGAATTTTAATTTTTTCTTTTCTTTTTTTTTTTTTTTTTAAAGATTTATTTATACACAAACCGGGGTACAGGCCAGATTCGCAGGAGGGTGAGAGGATTCACCAGAGACAGAGCAGGAAACAGAACAGGCAGACTGATGAAATACACTGCTGAGGGGAGCAGCGGGCGCCACAGGAGAGGCCTGTTGCACCATGTGGGACCCTCACCGGTCTGCCAGGATCAAACCTGCGCTGCAGAGGCTGCGGACAGCTTCATAGCGCTGCGCTCAACCGCCTGCGCTACCAGGGAAGGCCCTGATTTTTTCTTTTAAGGAGAGAAGCATACATGCCAGCCCAAACTGATCAGTATTTGTGGCCGTCATGAAATGATGTTAAAAGATTTTATTCCTAGCATGGTAAAAAGGCTGTTTCTCGAATTAGGTCTCCCTTTCTTTTTATTTATCTTCTTTTAATTGAGGTAATGTTGGTTTACAACACAGCATGTTTTAGGGGTGCAGACTCACATCTCTTCAAATGCATGTTACCCCACCTTGCCCACCACCAAAACATCAGTACCAACAACTCTTCTCCCCTACTTTGCCCGGTAGCTACTCTGGGCCTCTGCCAGCAGCCTCAGTGCTATGTCAGATTCCAAGAGTTTGCTTCTGTTGAGTCATTCTGTTCCTTCGAGCAAATCATCTGGCATTTGTTTTTCTCCTTTTGACAGGCTCAGGATCATCATACGCCACAGGAACCAGACACAGGACTTCCCAGGCTGATCATGACTTGGCGCACAGATAAATTCTTCAGGTGGAGAAACCTTTATTTTGTAGCCAACTGCCAGAGACTAACTTTTGCTTCATGGAAGCTGCGCGGGCGCCTCGTTTTCCTGGGATTTTGGGGCTTGCCTGTTGTAGCTGAGAAACCATTCTCTGTTTCTCTTCTACAAAATCTTCAAACTATTCTGTGCGTATCATTACACTCTGGTGGGCTCTAGTTTTTGAGGCTGGGACCTCAAAGCTGGTTTTGATCTTGTGTCTCCATTTTCTCTCCTTGTCTTAGACTAGACACCCACCAGAAGGGGGGTGTGGGGCTTGAGACACGTTGCTCTATTCTCCTCTTTCGCAGGTAGAAGCTTGGAAATTAATTTGTTATCGCGAGAATAAGATTACGTGGCATACATGTGTTATTCACAAGTTACGAGCTTAAACGGAAGTTTCCAAAACTCTCATCAGAACTGAAACTTCTGTCCATCAGTTGTGGGTGATGGGGGTCAGTTGTGGGGGTGTGGGCAACCTGCTCGGCAATCTTCTTACTTGCATCTTCATGGTGTCAAATACGTTGCTGGACCGAGGCCACAGCCCTAGTTCCTAGTGATGACTCATTCCTACCTGGTCTAGAAGCTTGGGCAGCTCACGGCCTGTCTCAGGCCTCTATCCATCCATCAGGAGGCTGAGCAGAAAGGTTCAGTCTGTGTTTTACACACTGTGGGATCCCACAAAGCACTTCACGCATCTCATGTCATCTTTGCACACAGATGAACAGGACCTGAGGGCTGTACCCCAGGCGGGAGGGAGAAAGCCTGGTGTGCAGAGGGAGGGTGGCGAGCCAGGAGAGGGCGCTTGCGAGCTGGGTGCTGGGTAGAGGATTTTATTAGCATTTTCCCTATTAGAACAGCAAAGGACGTTCTTCAACACTGTGTGTGTGTGCGCGTGTGTGCGTGTGTGTGTGTGTGTGTGTGTGTGTGTTGTACAGAAAGCGTTCACTTTTGTTATCTAATGAGACCTGTTTTTTAATCACGATTAGTTTGTTTTCTCCATTCTTCCCCTTTCTAACCTGAGAAGCGTGGCCTCCACCATCATCAGAATAATTATTCCTTTGCTCAATTTTGCAATATTCTGAACATGAGTCATGGAACTGCTAATCCACGTGACTGTAAGCAGCAAACATGTTAAGTGTGGTAATTTTAGTTCTTTTCACATTTAGTCTGAGGTCACATGGTCAAAGTGCTACATTCCAAAGTGACTTGGATTAATATTTCTTTTTACTTCCAGTGTAGTGATGGTGTTCGTTTGCAGTGTGGGTAGTCTGTTTCTGTTTGGTAATTGAAATAACGCCAATACTGGCAGTGGCATAGGAGCCTGCATTTACCAGTAAAATTGTCATTGGGTGGTGCTGTGGCCTGATCTGTACTATTACCCACAAGTAAGGATCTAGTTTATTACTTTTATAGTCATTCAATTCATATCTTCTGGCCTCATAGATCACTAACGCATATCAAGGACTTGTGATTTCTGGTAGGACACCAATACAGCATAGCCTGCATTTATTTTAACAAAACAAATTTTGTCCTAGAAAATTGCATTCAGTCTGCTCTTTGTGGAAGGGCTGATAGATGGCTTTTTTGTTTCAAATATTTATTTTAGTTATTTATGCACACACGAGCTGGGGTGTAGGCCAGAGGTGCAGAGGGTGAGAAGACTCACCAGAGACAGAGTGGGGAGCAGAACAGGTGGATCTACTGAAATCCACTGCTTAGGGGAGCAGCAGGGAGACAGGAGAGGTCTGCTGCGCCATGTGGGTAGCTCCCTGGCCTGGGATCCAACTCGTGCTGCAGTGGCTGGGGACAGCTTCTTAGTGCTGAGAGTTAACCCCTTGCACCACCAGGGAGGCCCAGATGGCTTTTTTATTTAAAAAAAAAAAAAGTCCTTGTAGTCCTGGGTGTGTTGACCAGTATGGTAGCAGTGGCCAGCTCCAGCTCAGAACCTTCTAGATATACTGAGCTGAATCTCCATTTGAACTTGAAGGGCAGAAAGACCACCCCTCTATGGGCCACTGACCTTTTGTATTTAAGGAAAGCCTAGTTCTGATTATTAATATCCTCACTGCTCCAACCGTGGGAAAGGAAGCCTGTTCCTTTTCTCCTTCATTTGGGCACAAGGATTCAATCCCAACGTGGATTCATGTCAAAAGTTTTGACAGCACGTGGCCTCTGTGCATCCATGAGCACCTGGACTAATTAAGCATGTTCACTCCATAAAGACGCGAACAACTAAACCCCAGTCCACAGACTTCGTGGGAAATTCCTCCTTAATTGCTTTGCTCCTGCTGGTTCTTGTCTTGCTTTTCTGCCTCACTGAGCTCAGGGGCCTGAGCTCACCCAGGGTGCGGCTCTCAGGCTCTGTCTTGTACTTTTCTTGGAATGAGTAACGCCGAGAGCAGGTTCTAGTTTTTGGAATATGACCAGGGCTTCGCGTCTGCAGCCCCACATCTGCATTAGCCCGCCTTCCAGGGATGGCCGACGGCCTTTGCCTTACGCTCAGCGCGGCTCCCGCTCACCCTGGGATTAGGCAGCCAGGGGTACCCCAACTCTCTTCCTGCTAGGGGGAAAGACCCCTAGTTCCTTGTCTTCCTTTGGTTGAGTCTGTTGTCCTTTCTTATATGCTGGGAGGGTGCATGAAAACTGGAGCAACAACTTCCCCCGAGAACAGACGTATACTGTTGCAACTGGGGATCGACCAGAGTCTCCCGTGTTCATTTGAAAACTGTAAACCAGGCCATCTGAGGCTCGCATGGTGTGTGCGTTCCCAGTGGATGTTGTCAGCCCATGCAGAGATCACAGCAACGGAGAAAAAAGTTTAAAGATGTGCAGAAAAAGAATCATCGGGGGTGGAATTGAAGTACAAGTTTCTACGTTTGTCCTGGGGAATGACAGCCCCGGGGCGTGCATGCAGCGAGAGCCAGAGCCCAGAGAGCCTGCAGTGGGCTGCTGCTCTCACCCGCCCCGTCCGTCCCGGGAGGCTCTCTCATTCCCCGTCTTCCTGGCTGGGGAAGCACAAAGTGCCCTCTGCTTAAGCTCCTTGCAGCCCAAAGAGTGCTCTCGTTTCAATTTTACAGATAAGGAAACCGCAGCCTGCGCGGAGAGAGAGAGACTGAGGTGCATGTTCTACAGGAAGGTCGGGAGATCAACCCAGACAGCTCAGCCCTGGAGCTCAGGGAAAGACAAAGCACTGGCAAGGATGGAAAACCTTCAGCTACTTAACAAAGAGACAGCGGGTGGGGAACGTGTACATGTGCGATGAGGCAGAAAGCCAAGGAGCCCAGTAGGCGGCCGAGCTGGACAGGAGCTAGAGATGCCGGCTGAGCCCCAACCTGGTTGCTCACCTGGGCTCAGCAGGGACAGGTGAGCACGGCCCCCACATCACACACCTGCTGCTTGGTCTTTGCAGGTAAGACCGGGAATTATTTAAAAAACACACTAAAGTAGAATGTTAGAACTTCAGTACTGCTCGCTATTCCAAAAACAAAGCACTTCCAACAAATAAACCTTTTCAAAAATGAGGGGAGGGCCTTACCTTCTTATACAACGTCTCAAGCTCTGCCTTGACGCCCTGCCCGGCTGTCCACACTGGCGGTCTCGCAGGAAATGGCCTAATGGGGTTTGGTAGGGCGAGGATTCTGCCATCATCTCCGAACCACCTTCTCCCCTGAAATCCAAGCAGAGGGAAGGGCATTTTCTTTTAGCTGGACAGGAAATAGTTTACAAAATGGACATTTGCTGGAAAATTCTGAGTCAACATACGCATTTTATGCACTCTCCTCATCTCTGTTAAAGCCTCTGTTTCCTTAGAAATTGAGTCTTCACTGACACCCTTCCTGCAAGTTAATTTTACATACAGTCTTCACTCCCTGCCCCCCCCAAAAGTTTAACAAAGTTTAATATCTACTTTGCTTTCTTGGGGAAAGTCTGGCAAATCTGATTTAGCAGCAGGAGCCTGCACCCAGCAGTGGAGGGGAGGGGTTGCTGGAGGATTGCAGAATGTACAAGACCAAGACAAAAAGGAACTGAGCCTCTGTGTGCAGACACCCCTGATTTCAGGGCCTAGTGTGCCGCACTGCCCCTTGGGGGACGCTCCTCCAGGCTCAGCTCTGCTCACCTGCTCCTGCTCCAGCAACCTGTTCTCCATGATGTTCTGGCTGACGCGAGGCACCTCCGGTCTCACCCCGATGTAGAGCCCTTCGTCCTCCAGAAATCTGGGCTGCACGTTCTCGGGGAGCTTTTTGTATGTCGGCACTAGCGAGTTCATAAATAAACACAAGCAGCATCAGTGTCTACGGATACATTTCAAACTGCAATTTGCTGAATAAAAACAGCCACTGGAGATTTCATTTCTGTTCTTAGAAGTTGCATGTTTTCCAAAGTGATAGCTAGAGACAGAACCGAGGAAAAGAGGAATGTGTTTACTGGCAAACACATGTGGTGGAATCCCCTATTTAAGAGGTGACACTACAGGATGCAACAGCTAAGGCGTCAGCACAGCAAAGGGGCAGGTGTGACCTGCGGATGACAGGACTGAGCTCCCCTCAGGGATGATGGGAAGGGCCAGGCCCTTCTTTGAGCTCTTACCTCCTGCACATGAGGGATGATGATACCGACCACCTAGTTATTGGGAGCATTAGATGGGGATAAGAGTGGGGAAATGTTTAGGGTAATCGTGGGTATGACCTCATTTATTGTCACCCTCACCACCACCACCACCTCCATCATCATTGTTGTATGACAGCAAAATCCCAATCTTTGGGTGCTTCTGCCAGCTGCCCATTTTTAAAGGAAACTTCGGCTGTCCAACCAATTCTAATGTTTTCTAGACGTATGAGTCAGACCCATCCAAGCCAAACAATAATGTGTCCTTAGTTCCATATTTAATTGGAACTCGGGTAAAATCTGATGAAAAGAAATCCTGCTTCCAACTAAGGGAAGTCCGGGCCCCCTCTTACAGGATGTAGCTGCCTGCCATTTAGGGGTGAGCTATCAGAAGGGGGGTGATCCCTCAGGGGCTCTCAGGAGGGAAGGAAATCCCAGGGAAATAAAGAGTGAAGGGAGACCCCAGGCAGGAAGGAGGAGAGAAGCATAAATAGGAGTAAACCAGATGGTCCTGCACCAGTATCCTCGCCCTGTGTCCATGGGTGGGTGAGGAACCCCTTCCAGCCTGCTTCTTGGCACTCTCAAAACTTCCAGACTGATAATGTCCTTTGTATGCTAATGAGATGTAGGAGATTGGGGTCTCCTGGGTCATTCAAGGATGACAGCAGTTGGGGAACCCATCCTGGAGGAAGAGGGTAGGACTTTTAGCCACTCCCTCTCTGGACCTACTCACCTATGGAGGGGAGAGGGACTAGAGGTTAAATTATTCACCCAAGGCAATGATTTAGCCAACCAGAGAGCTGTTCCTCTTCACAGCTTCAATCTTAAGTCTCATACCCTCAACCCCAGAACAGGTGCAAGATCTGATAAAGGGACTCCCAAAGCATCCTGGACTTTCGTCTGCTATTCTATCAATTGTTGATTGGATATTTTTTCATGTTCTATGTATTTTTTATCTGAAGCTGTTTCTCAATTATTAAGTCAGATTAGAAGTTGGGATCAGTTGTGGATGTCAGGCATCTTGGTACACCAGCCATACTTTTAAAGGAAAATGAAGTGCCCAAGCTAAGCAGGAAGATAAAAAGAGCATGTACCTGTCGCCCTGCTGGGTATGAACAGGAGTTCTTTTTCCACCTGCAGCCGAACATGGGCACTTTCATAATCCGCAGGCCTGACCGCCACGAAGCCTTCAGGCCCATGGTCTAAGCCCAGGAGGAATTCCTCAGCCTCCTTGCCATCCAGCAGGTCCTCCTCATCCTGCATCATATTAAAGAATGATGGGAAATCATGCAAAGGTTATTGGATTGCTTAAAAAATAATGGTAGAAAGCTCATCAAACAACTTCTCCTATCATAAAATGACCTTTTTCTTGGTTTATCTTTTTTAATGGAAAGTCTAAAAATATGTGGCCTTTTATTTTAACAAACAAATTTGTTGTTTTTCATTATTTTATATACCGAGAAAGTGAAGTTAGAACCAGCTGAAACCAGAAGTGAGGTGTCAGGTAAAGCCACTGACATCTCCACAACTCTGGCCTCCTCAGAGGATGACTATTCTTGACACTTATTTAAGAGATTTGGGTTCCTAAGTTAAAATGCAGCACTTTAACCTTCCACCTGGCACTGATATCACCACCACCATCACCATCACCACCACCATCATCTCTACTACCATCATCACAACAATCATCTCTACCACCATCATCACAACCACCATCACCACAATCATCACCATCAACATCATCACCACCACCACCATCATCACCATCACTATCATCACCACCACCATCACTACTGCCCTTGTCCTCATTACCATCACAATATTAGTACCATTTTACTTACTTCTTGCATGGGTAGTTCTTCCTCTCCTTCCTCTTCCCCTTGGCTAGTTCCATCTCTCCTTTTTGCTTTTGGTTTTTCCTCTAGTTCCTCTGGTTCAGGATCAAAATTGAAAGTAAAGAAGTTATAAGCTTCTTCAGCAGAAGGGAAACCAGGTGGCACCTAAGGAAAAGTGGAAACAACAGACTTTCAGGTCATATAAGCTGAAACAAACTCTGTATAGTTCACTGGCAGTGGCCTTGATGCTACGTCCATCAGGAACATTCTATACATCCAAAGTGAATCAGCCTTGTCGAAGGTGTGGGATTCCTGGTGATGAACTTTAAGCTCAACAGGCAGCTGGTGGGCTCCCCTTTGATAAGTTACTGTAGTAAGTTACTTTTTCATAAACCAGCAATTATTTCTACTCTATCAAACACCTAACTATATTACTTATAGCAGTAAATCCTTCAGAAAAGATGATAAAAATGCCCTAAAGTTAATTCACCATTTTGCAGGACAATGGTAAAAAAGTTAGTTTTAGTTATAAGCAACATAGGGTTTATTAACTTTTTAAAAAAGTTATTACTGGGGAGGTTTTGCCTCTTCTTGAGTAAGCATCCTCCTTTTGTCCCCATAAGGAAAGCTGGCGCCACTTCAGAGCTGAACAAATAGTCTTGTTCCCAACATTTCCTGCCTACCAGGCATCTCCCTTTCCCAAATCAGCTCATCTTCTGATCTCTGCAGCTAGATGGTAGAAATTGAAAAGTAGCAGTCGTTTCTCATGCTTTTTTTCTTGCAAACTCCATGCAATAGAAACCAGATTAATTGTATTATTATTTCTCATTGGATATTTTTGGAAAATGCAAACAAGCAAATGTGACTTAAAGCATACAAGATTTAAGGCAATCATGAGTTAAAAAAATGAATTTCGGGCCTCCCTGGTGGCGCAAGGGTTAAGACGCAACCTATGAAGCTATCCGCAGCCACTGCAGCATGAGTTCGATTTCTGGCCAGCCAGGGAGCAACCCACATGGTGCAGCAGACCTCTCCTGTCTCGCCTGCTGCTCCGTTCAGCAGTGTATTTCGTCAGTCTGCCTGTTCTGTTCCCCACTCTGTCTCTGGTGAATCGTCTCACCTCCCTCCCCCACACCTCTGGCCTGTACTTCAGTTCTATGCATAAATAAATAAATCTTAAAAAAAAAAAAAGATGAATTTCTCACCAGGGGTTTAGACTTGGATTTTCGTGTCGAATCACGAAACTTCACTCTGGAATGACTTTGGGACTCATCTTTTTGTTGAAGTCTTTGTTCCTCCTTGCCTGGCTGCACAAGTAGAAACAATGATATACATGCCGCTGAAATCAAGAAGCTAAGAATGTCCTCAAGTAAGCGCTAGCCCTCACCATCCTTCTCCTGCTCCTCGTCACATCCCACCATCACGAAGGAATGAACTGGGTGCATATGTCAAATACATTTGGAGGCTAGGATGGTTCAGTGTTTTCTTACTCAACTCTGTCTCTTTCAAGACTGAACAAATAGAAAATTTAAACTCAACAAGCCTGAAAATGGAAAATGATGTTTCATCCTACAGATTCGTAGATTATCTAATTCACAAAGCATCCTTCCAGAGAGTCTATGAAGAAAAGTGTCAGTAATGCCTGAGTGTAAGTAAGTTTTGCACTGCCTGGAGGGCCTTCTCAAGAGCCTCGGACACAGCGCCTGCTGCCTCTGGACAGGTCCAGGCCTCGGTGGACTCACTCTCATGCGGGGGTCCCTTCCTTCTCCAACAGCCAGTCCCCAGCTGCTGTTCCCACTTTGCCACCATCACTCCTGATCCACCTCTCCAGGAACCTACCCACTTCTCTTTTATTCACTGTTATGGTCCAGATCCCAAGCCATTCACAAAAGAAGGAACAAGCTTATGCTATGATAGAAACTTTATCGTTATTCAAGACCAATTTCTTAGCATGAAATTGTTATTTTTTTTATTATGAATACAAGGTAGCGTACCTGCTCTGGGGACCTTTAATATCATCTTCCCATGTCTCACCTGTGTAACAACTGCCTTTGTCAGACTTTCAGACTGGAAATGGACAATTTTCCAGCATTTTGTACTTTGAGTCTGGCTTGGCACTGCTGGGCATGGCTTACTCATCCTAAAGGATTGTCAGACAACACCCTGGGGGGATGTTTTCCATGTGAAAACATGGGGGAAAGACTTGACAAAATGTCTGCATTGAGGAGTACCCCTCAAATTGCAGCTGGCATAGTTCTTCCTAAGCATTGGACACCTCCTTTGTGTACAGCACTGTCCTAGAAAGTTTTGCTGGAAATTTTATATTCTGCCTCCCTGTTTTTGATCACAAAGTAGAGGTGGCCCTTTCTCACCTCCGAGCCAAATTCAGTCTCCAATTCCTTCTCGCTGGGGCTTCTTAAGCGCCTGGGCCGAAGGGTAGGGATTTCCTGCAGCAATGTACTCTCTGCTTTGGACTAAAAATTAAACAGAAATTTACTGCTCCATAATGTCAGCAAACCTTGGAAAATCTCAGACACCATCTCCATGGAACAGTCAATAAAAACTCCATGGTATCCTTCTTTATGCAATAAAGGCAAGTGGAAATGTTTAGACAATGGCTTTAAATTCTTAAGCATAATTTTCATCTGTACCAATGCTAAACACTACATCAATATTTAAACAGGAAAAGCAAATTTAACAGTATTCAAATCCACGTAGTTTTGAGCAAACAAATCTATCCAGACAAGACCTAAAGCGCTGTAACCAGCTCAGAGCAAAATATTCATGTGGTTTCTCTCACCCTTGCAGCCTGTAATTTCTCCCGCATGCGTTCCCTCATGGAAAATTCTGCAAAACCTGTTCTGGAAGCTGAAGGAATTGGAGGCAAGCCTAAAACAATACAAGAAAATGACTTTAAAACAACATTTTTTCTTCCAAAGGAGAGATCAGATTAGAAAAAAATAACATGAGAGTACAATTTTAATTTGTAAATTTAGAACTTTACATAAGCACCCATGAGCTAACGCTGGTGACCGTCCATTTGATGTAATAGGCACATGTCTTGCCAGCGCTGTCACACCCACTTAACTGAGAATGAAACAAATGACACTTGACTCTTCAAGGCTCAGACACACTTCCCAGCTCCGTCACCACTGGGGAGAGGCTCTCAAATTTGTTGATTTGAGAAACAGGCTCCTCAGGTGAATGGGTAGCTATTAGGACAGGGTTTCTGGGATCAACTCTCAACAATGCTGCTAATTTTAATCAGAGAAACCTTTTCTACCAGCCTGGTCGAGGTCCTGGGCTACAGCATAGAGACCACAGGTATTTTTACTTGCTATTCCATAGATATGTAAGCTTCATGAAATGCTACGTAGCTATTAGGGGCCGGGCAGCATGATATCTGTGTTCGATGCACGCTCTCGTGGTCTTAGGCCATGCCTGCTGGAGGGCACAGGAGGGTGAACTTGTTGTGAGCATTCTGGGACCCCTCCCCCATCTTAGGTAGGAGGGCATAGCATCTGCACAGACTTGAAGTCAGAACAGGCTCCGTCCTGTCCTGTGATGCCTGCGGGGAAACCAGGCATCCATCCTCACCAAGGACCAAGAAGCCAGAGAAAATGCAAACAATGGGTGTGGAGCTTTTTAGGGTTCCTTCTTTAGACACCAAGGAAGTGATGAACCCCAGCACTGACCTCCTCTGCACCAGACAGCATCGCCATCTCTTTGGGTCAAGATCATTTAGGGAAAGGAAAGGTCTGACCCTACGGACAGGACCCAGCAGCCCCTGTCAGTTACACTTGACATCAGCGACTTATGGCTCCTTTCTCTTCGGACTCTGTAACACGCTCTATAAGTTGAGCTCCAACCTGTGATTACAGGAGCAGGTCTCAGAGTCAAATCTGGGGACCGCTTCCAGGTAGGAATCCTCACTTTACTCATCTAATAAACTGTCTAATGATCATCGAGAGTATTTCAGTTGACAAGGTGTTCTCATCACCAGCTATCTTGAAGATGAAGACGCTGAGGCCTTTCGGGACAAGTCACTGGTTCTGCAACCCCACAGCTCTGGCGCCGGGGATTTGGTCCAGTTCTGTACGTGCCCAACTGCCCCAACCTGTTATGACTGAAGGGAAATAAGACAGTGTTGGGGACAGATTTTCGTCATGTTTGGAACACAGGGCCCTGTGCAGGAGTTGGGGTCAGGATATGAGGTGCTTCTGAGGCCACACTCAGAGACAGAATATATTCTCCGTGCAGTGGGGGTGTCTTGAGGAACATGGAGAGAGGAGGCTGTGAATCCAGCACCATTTTTGGAAGCTTCACCTGCAGCTGCACATCCAGGATGCTTGGTGGGGCCGAGGGTGGAGGGGGTGAGGGGGGCGGAGTGGGTCAGACCCCAGGGCCGGCACTGGGATGTGCTGGTGAGATAGTCGGGGTGGGGATCAGTGGGAATAATTGCAAAGAGGGTGCAAGCAGGGAATGGCGGGGTGACTTGGAGGGGGTGCCCACAGCAGCAGCTGCATCTTTTGGGCACTGTCAGACATGCAGATTCTCAGGCCACACCTCAGACCTACCGAATCCAAATCTGAAGGCGAAGCCCAGCAACCTAGCTGATGTAAGAACACTCAAGCTGGAGGGCTTTGGTTTGGAGAAAGAACTAGAAGGTAGTGGTAGCTGAGGTTTTGAAGGAGGTGACTAGGAGTGTGAAGCTGATGGAGGTTAAAAGTAGAAAAGTTGGGAAAGAGGCTCAAGACCAGAAACCTGACTCCTGCAATGCGGGAGCTGGAGGTGGGGGCAGAAGTGATTAACATAGTCGTTAAACCAGGGGCCTCCCTGGTGACACAAGGGATTAAGTCTCAGCACTATGAAGCTATCACCAGCCATTGCAGCATGGGTTCGATCCCGGGCCAGGGAGGTGACCCACATGGCACAGCAGACCTCTCCTGTCTCACCCACTGCTCCCCTCAGCAATGGGTTTCAGTAGATCCGCTTGGTCTCCTCCCCACTCTCGCTGATGAATCCTCTCAATTCCCCACCCCTGGCCTACACCCCAGTTCTTGTATCCATAAATAAAAATAAAAATAAATCTTGAAAAAAAATCCAGCCATTATTTTCCATCTTAAAGACTGTGTAAGTGGGGTGGGTCAATCCCTCATTCTCAAGACATTTCCTACTGGCAGGTATTGCCTTTGGAATTTATAGATTTCGGTGGCTCCCTGATGCACACCCACATCCCCCAGGCTCTGTGGCCCGGCCACACAGAGCAGGACAGGTGAGTTACACAAGTGTGTGGACTGTCTTGGTGGGCTCAGCTCTCTGGTGCCTTCCAATCCGTTTCTTGGCTCACCACCCACCTCACTTCTGTCCCTAGAGAAAAGCTCTTCGAATGTTAACTGTACATTTCTTTGATCATGACAAAGTCTCTCCCTTTTTTCAAAAAAAGGGAAATTTCAGTTGACAGCTTACTATACATACGCATGAATTATTCTTTCAATGAGAGACAGTCTATTTTATTGAAATGCTATCTCCTCTGAATAAAGAAACCCAAGTGGCTTCTCTAACATTAGTTTTTAAAACCCATGAAAAATTTTGAAGGAGTGAAAAGTACTCTTGTCTGATTATTATATTTTTATTCAGCCCTCCCATTTTTATTTATTTAAAAATTTTTTTTATTGAAGTAACTGGTTTATCACATTATATAGATTTCAGGTGTACAACATTATAAATCAACATCTGTTTATACTGTATTATATTTGCCTGTTTCTTAAAAAAGTCTGTGCTAGTGAAAAACGTTTAGGGGCATAAGAATTTCCAAGCCCCGTCTGCAGCCGTGTCATTTTCCCATCTAGAATGTGACCGGCTCCAGGGTGAGTTTGGTGATTATTGCACCGGGACTTTGTAGCTCTAACCTAACGTTTGCATGGACCCAGCTGATGACACTGAAGACTATTTTTTAAAGATAGCATTACTAAAGTGCTATCTGTGAAAGCTTGGGTACGAATTCCCTTTGACATAATAACTTCAAGGTATTACTTTCATTTTTATATTGGTGGAATATGACAGTGTTTCTTTAAACAGCTGGAAATACTAAGGGAACCCTCATAAATTCCCCCCCCCAATTTTATTGTCTGTTACTCCACTACATGACTAATCAGCTATGAGATCCCAAACTGGCTATATTTTTCCTGCCCTGGGGATAAGAACTGATTGGCCAAGCTTAAGGAAGGGTGTGATTTCACATTCACACAAGGAGACCTTCAGAAAGAGCTCTTTGACACAGCTAGGAAAACCTGGCATGAAAAGTGCTTCGTAAGTACCAAATGCAAAGAGTGTGATGAAAGTAATTTTCGAAAGTATTAAAGATTTGATTTGAGGGCATGCAAAAATGTATGGAAAATGAGAAAATTTCAAGACATTCTATTAAAAATACATACATAATGGCAATTAATATGGATCATGGATTTCCTTGGCAAACTGATGCTTTTCCTCAGAGGCCTCAGGCTTACTTCAGTTGTCTTACTCTGGCTTTGTAGCAAACTCTGCAGCCCAAGGCTTTGTCAGCTTCACGTCTGCAAATGGCTTCCAGATCTTTTAATTCTGTGTCCTTTTTCCTATCATCCATACTCACTGTACCCCAAACACTCCCATTACAGGCTTAATAAAATGGTAGACACTTTCCATTTTTCCTTTAAGCACATCTACTACAATGGGTACCTCAGAAAACACAATGGCCTTCTAATGTCAGGTTATTGGAAAAGTCATGACGTATTTTTTCTGTATTTTTCAAGCAAAAATGCATCATGACTTTTCCAACAACCCAATAAATAGGCATTTCATTTTGAAATAATTTTAAAATCCTCTCATTTTATGTCCCCAGGTTGATACCTCCCCTGCTTTTCTCTTCATTAATGCTTTTATTGAGAGAGAATCCAAACACCATAAAGTTCATGCTTTGAAAGTGTAACTTAGCGGTTTTATTCATCCACTGATGGACATTTGGTTTGTTTTCCACCTTTTAGCTATTATGAATAATGTTGCTATAAACATTTATATACAAATTTTGTGTGGACACATGTTTTTGATTCTCTTGAGTATAGCTGGGTATAGCTGTTGGCTTGTTGAGTCATATGCTAACTCTTTTCTTAACTTTTTGAGGGATTACCAAAATATTTTCCAAAGTAATTACACTATTTTACATTCTTACCAGCAATGATTTTAATCTTGCCACATCCTTGCAACACTTGTTATTATCGGTCTTTTTGATTAAAACCATCGGGGGTGAAGTTGTATCTAATTGGGGTTTTGATTCCCATTCTCTAATGACTAATACTGTTAGGCATCTTTTTATATGTTTATTGGCTAGATGAATATTTTCTTTGGAGAAATGTTTATTCAAGTCTTTTGACTATTTTTAATTGGGCTATTGGCTTTTTTTATTTTTTAAACACTCTACCTTATCAGATACATGACTTGAAAGTACTTCCTCTCACATTTGGGCTGGATAAGGATTTGATGTCAGCTGGGGATGAGAGTTTGGGGACCTCACAGGCTTTTCTATGGTTGCCAGAATTATGCTGAAGCTTTCAAAGTCCCTATAGACAGGTCATTTCCAGTTTTTTCTTAATTTTTTTGATCAGCCTCTTGATAAACCATAACTGGTAATGCAACCTCTGGCAAGTTCCACATTGAACAACGGCCTCTGTGATGTTGAACTATTGCCGCTAACTGTTTTCCACAAATGTTCTGTGTATAGGGTGCTCTCCTGGAGTAAGCGCCATCAGGCCAAGTCCCTAGAAGCCATGAGGTTGGAGCTTTTCAGTGGGCTGTGAAACAGATCACATAGTGACACTTTGGGGGTAGATGGGACTTTTGAGGAGCTCCAAATA